GCCTAGTATCAAATACATAAACATAACTACAAGTGCAACAGATGACAGTATCTTCTTTTACAACTATTGTGGTTAAAGCGTGGCTAATGCCCTTTAGAAAGAAATATGGAGGCAATCTTGATAACATATTGTCAGATGACCCAATTTTGTGTAAATAATTTACATTCACCTTCACCAATGTTTGTACCCCGGGCATAAGTTATGGGTATGGTATATAGTGTGTTATGTACTTACCTCACATGTATTATAGTCTTCAGAATCCAAAAGCAAGCAGAGTTTGGGAAGAAGTTCCGGCCAGTTTTGGAGCTCACCCTTAGAGGCAACAGTGGTGATGAGGATACCTTCAGAGAAAAGTATAAATTTCATACCGTTTGTGTTTCATTTGCCATGAAAAATCTGTAAATTATACTCACAGAACATAGAATAAATTTTAAATAAGACTCACCTACAGTAGCCCGGATGAGGGGAGATGAGTCACCAATGTTTTGAAGACATTCATTCTTGATAAAATCAGATACACCACTGGGAAAATTCTGATAATGAGCTTTTACATTGTTTTTCAGAATAAGTCCACTTAGTGAACGTGTTGGTTCATCTTTGAAGAGAAAGGAAAGAAAAAAAATTAAGGCACAAAATGCTACTACATTGCAAATACAACCATCTACACCACTACAAAAGCAGAACATAAAAAGGCTTTAGATTGACCTATATTCTATTTAGTGAATCATGTGTGTAAGCAAAGTGCCATTAATTCTAATTGGACCCGATATGTGGCAACATTAAATTATCAGCATGAAACAACATGAAGGCAAATGACTCAACAGGTCAACAGACCAAATTACAGACCTACCTTCTGTTTTGAGCTTTGTCAGGACAAATATTAAATAGTTGTTGAAGTCTGGATACTGATTCAATTGCTCTAATCTCTGTGGAATATGTTAAGGATACCACACACAAAACACCAAAAAGCACTGATTGCTAAATTACAAGTATGTTTTGAAGTATTTTGTTTGTCATTGGCCTAAGCAATGTTTTTTCTGTCAAATCAAACACTTGGGCTGCTGTTTTGACTGTGTGTTAAAAACGTAGTCTTAGTTTGGTGGCCTAAGGGTGATTTCCTTAGTACGACATTGCTATTACACCTGCATGACAGTGAAAACCTAGATGGAACTATGGCTGGCCTGTTGAGTCTACTATTTTAACACACACGCTCACACACACACGCACGCGCGCACGCACACGCACACACACACACACACACACACACACACACACACACACACACACACACACACACACACACACACACACACACTAGGACAGTGCTGTGGTGTTAAGATAAAGGATACTTGCTGGACGGATCTTTGGATGGACGTGTCAGGAGACTGTGACTCCTTTAGAAGCTGGAGAATCTGCTGAAGTCCTTGTTGGTCTGGCTTCCACTCACACTCCATCTTAATCTGCGGCAGTGTACAAAGAAATTGCGTTAAATCTAATGGCAGCACACAGCAGAAGAAAACGTCATGTTAGCTAGGCTCAAAGATGACTCAGCCAGACAGGAGAGCACGAACCTCAGGAGGCTTTCCCTCGTCTTCTACAAACCCCGAGTGACTTTCTGATCTAATGTCACCGTACGTGTGGTTTTTCAGACATGGGCCTGCTGGATCTGGACATCTGCTCACGGTAGAGCTCAAAAGCTGCAAAGCACCGAGATACGGACTGGCGTCGCTCTCAAGCACACCCCCCGCACACCCCCCAGCCCGCGCTATGACAGAGCGGTCCTAGCACCGGACAAGTTTAGTGTAGCTCTTTTCATCTCTTCACATTTAAATTTTCGTAAAATTTAATGCGTCAGAGAGTATGGTATGGAAAGAAAGGTAATAAAACACACAGAGTACCAAAATAAACACACATCAAATATTGTTAGAAATTACAGAGATAAAGTGGCATTTGGTGGTCACATTGGTGAATAGAGGTCATTTGGGACCTTGCCTACTGTTAAAGAATGATAAAACTGTACCACATACATATATAATTCTTTCTTTCAGCCTTTTTATTATTATTATTATTTTTATTATTTTTATTATTATTATTATTATTATTATTATTATTATTATTATTATTATTATTATTATTATTATTATTATTATTATTATTGTTATTATTATTATTATTACAGATACATAGCATCAAGACAAAACACCAAAGGTATATACAGTAAGTCTTTCAGCCTGCCTGCTTGGTTCTGCAGGAAATGAGCAAGTCTTAAAGAGATCCCCGAATGCCTTGACCCTCTACTTCACCGTGCTTATTAAGGGGGGGGGAGCAGCAGCTCCACTCCAAGCTCCTGCCACCCCTGCGACAGAGCAAGTTTGTCACTTTAATTTATGCCGGTGTCCTTTGGGTTTGAGAAGACCCAACCACTTTAGAAAAGATCCTAACGAGACAAGATGTGCATGATATATGTATTATGGATTAAAAATAAATAAATAAATTTACAAATGTATGTAGTTATAAAGTCACAATTATTTTCGTCAGGCAACAGTAACCAAAAGTATTGTGGGTACAGTTTAAAAAATTTAAGACATAATGGACGTTTACTAAAGAAACCATCCAATTAATTGATGACCAGAAGATGGCAGTAATGCTTCTGCAGTGTTAGTCACGGACGGAAGTCAGTGCTGCCTCACTGAGACTAGAACAGAGCTCAACATACGGCCACACAGGTCTATTTTTACATTAATCCAACCAGGTTTGCATTGTCGCGAAAGTACTTTTCTTTCTGTTACTTTGGTATTTCTATTTACGTGCGAAGATACGACGCAAGGACTGGAAACAACAGAAAGACGACTTGAGTTGTGATCACAACCCAGCTTCCAGGAAAAAAATCCCTAAAAAGATCACCCCTTTCTTATTCTGCCCTTTGAAGAATGAGCTTTCTTTTGTAAGTAGACTTTGTTGGGTTGATACTTTTATCGTCTTGTTCTTCGTTAAAACGAACAAATGCACCACACAGTTGGCAAATGCTAACATTAGCTTCTGCTCTCGCTTGCGACTACTTCCTGGCAACTTGATTGGTATTTATTTCATAACATGTGTTTGTTTGGGTTTTTTTTTTTTTTTTGCTCTAAAATGTGGTGTCTGCGTGGTTCCCTCTCCACAGATCTGACCTGTAACTTTGTCTCATGGCGTCACTTACTCTTCCCAGTGGAGATAGATAAGCTTAACTCGGTGGAACATTACAGGCAAAGCAATAACATCTCCAGGGATCTTAACCAGGAGACAAGCTGCTGGTTGAAACTTTCCCAGAAAAGTTACATTGTGTTCCTTTTTAAAGGGGGACAAGTGAAGGCTATCAATTCAATTTTTTAAATACATCTTAGCAAATTTAAATGCCCTTTAAATGTTTCAATTAAACTCCATGATTGAAAAAAAAAGTTATTATAATTTAGTTAAATTATAACACAATCAAAAAGTATTCTAACGTTATCATTATAAAACCTGTAAGTTGATGTTTACTCTTGTCAGACAGACACACTGTTGATTACTGCTTTTCCCCCAAAATGTGTTACTCCCAGTGGTAACCGCTCATCCAAGACATTCAAGCCCAAGAAGAATATCCCAGAGGGTTCCCATCAGTATGAGTTGTTGAAACATGCAGAGGCAACGCTGGGGAGCGGAAACCTGCGCATGGCAGTTATGTTGCCTGAGGGTGAAGACTTGAACGAATGGGTCGCAGTCAACAGTAAGACTTGATTATGCCTTTTTAAAAGTGTTTGTGAACACAAGTATTTCTATATTTTATGTTATCTTGGTTTAAAGAAAATCTTCCTGGTACTGTGGCATGAACTTAAGTGATAGATAGTGTATAGAGTTATGTAAAGAATATATGTTGCCTTTATAGCAAAACTCTTTTCTTCTGTTTTCAGCTGTAGATTTCTTCAACCAGATAAACATGCTTTATGGGACTGTCACAGATTTCTGTACAGAGGAGAGCTGTCCAGTCATGTCTGCTGGTCCTAAGTAAGTTGAAACTTAAGTCACGTTTGTGGTTTATTACACTAGTATGCCTCATTTTCTAATGTTTCTTGGTGCAGTTTACTTAAACTACAATTATTTTCCCACTTCAATTGAATTCTTTACATGTTAACTTTACGTTTGTGTTTCGCAGTACTAAGTGGAGTCCTGTGTTGGAAGCACAAATCCATTGATGCCCATGCGTATGGTGACATTACATTTCATCTGTTTTTTATCTGTCCGTTCAAGGTATGAGTATCACTGGGCTGATGGAACTAACATCAAGAAGCCAATAAAATGCTCAGCTCCTAAATACATAGATTACCTCATGACCTGGGTCCAAGATCAACTTGACGACGAGACGCTCTTTCCTTCGAAGATAGGTAGGGCCACTGGAAAGGTGTAATTTTAGTTAGAAAATAACTTTGGTTGAAATTCTAATATATATTTGTCTTTGCAAAGTGTTATAATTTTCCAGTTTTTATTTTATGGTTGTTGTATGTTAGAAAAGACAGAGGTGAGGCTCATTTTTTAAATTAAAATTTAATGAAGGGTTTTGTCTTATTTTAAAGGTGTCCCTTTTAAGCGTAACTTTATAACTGTGGCAAAGACCATCCTGAAGCGCCTGTTCCGGGTGTATGCTCACATCTACCACCAGCACTTTGACTCTGTCATGCAACTGCAAGAAGAAGCCCACCTAAACACCTCATTCAAACACTTTATCTTTTTTGTTCAGGTAAATCTACATATGTAATATTTATATTCTCACAATATTACCAGATGATATCTGTGTAACATCCTGTCATATGTTTTTAGGAGTTCAACCTTATTGACAGGAAAGAGCTGGCTCCACTACAAGAGCTGATTGAAAAACTGACAACTAAGGATAGATAAACATATCTATTTTTTTATTTAATTTTTTTTTTTTTTATTTAACTGGTTTTCTTGTTTTGCACAGATACCCCTTAACCCTGGTTGTATGGATGCAGTATAACATTTCCATTTGGGGAAATGTTTAACACAAGGCCAGGGATGTAGGGAGATTTATTAAGGGTTATGCACCAGGGGAGTCTATCAGGGATTATAGTTATCCAAGCTGTCTTGAAACAGAATAGCAGAATACTAAAACATTAATAACAACTAATAACATTAACTTTGTCATAGACCTGAACACTATTACTATTATTACTATTATTATTTTATTACATTTTTTATCAGACCACATTTGAGAGAGTGTGCATTGGTGCAGATTCAGTTGCCCCTAATTGTCAACAAGTGCCTAGCAGGGCTCACATTTACTGTATCTAATAACCAAAAACTCAGAAGTGAAGATGTTTAAAATAGATAAAATGCTAAATTTTGTAAGGGGCAATGCATCAAAGTTTCCATATTTTCCCTAAAACTTAAAATGAAATAAATGTGCTTGCACATTTGCGTTTTGAGATGCCACTTTTCCCTAAATCCCTTGATTATAACAGAGATTGAAGTGTTCTGTGCACATACTAACAGATGAATGTGACGACATATGAGGCTAGAGAAAGGCAGTTGATAGGTGTGGGAGGTTACTTTATATTAAAAGGGGGGCAATATGAGCCTTTTTCTACACAAAAGGTCAAAAGACTTAATAAAAATATACATATTTTTCCTTCCCAACACTACAAAAAAAATATATACAGAGTGATGTAACCGTGTATCAAGAAAAAGAAACTTAAACTTACTCTAAAGCAGCGGAGTTTAGAAAGGGCCCTAATAGATATTGTATTGCATTGAAAATGATTATGCTGATATTTCTCTAGTCATAAAGCACTTTTACCCAATGACCTAATTTAATTGAATGTTTATTCTGCATAGGCTATAGTCTGAGACTGACCCTTGTTTTCCTTTGTGTTCCCTATAGGAGTGTTTAATTTAACTCGGCTAATGGGCCTAAGAACAGTTTCTTGGATCTGTGGCTGTCTTTTAAACAGCAAAAGCATGTTATTTCTTGCTTAAACAATACTATGCAAAATTGGACATGACACTAAAAGAGCCTTGGTTCACTTGTTTATGCTGAAAGCTTCTTTTTTTTTTTACTTTTGAGTGAGCGTATGATGGCTTTTCTTTGATGTTTTTTATTTTTTTTACATATCACGGATTTCTCTAAAACAGCGAACATGAAGTGAATTTATTATGTTGAATGCTTTTGCTGGGTAGATGCTGATGCCACTTTCTTCTGGAGATTACATACTTTTATGAATGTTACTGCTTACCCAGTATCCAAATTGTGTCATTCAAGCATCTCATTATATCCTGTTCTCTAATTTTCTTATAATCCTAACTGCAAGGTTTGTAAATATGGCTTAGTAAAACTTTTCAATTACTAGATTTAATTATGGTGTTGACAAGACGAATAAAAGTGGTCTTGACTTGAGAGAGCCTTGTGGGTGATGGGTCTTTTATGCGTCCATAGTGGGGGGCTCTAGAGAGAAGCCCATTGTGGCAGTTCATGGATCTACAGATCCAAGAGACAAGCAGCCTAGCCTGCTGTGCTTGGGAGGAGTTTGGAGGAGTCACCGGTGCATCACTTCCGTAGTGGTGTGGTTACCGCCAAACTTTAAACGAGCAGGCGGGCGCGCGATACTGCACAAGACAGTCTCCTTGCGTTTCTTTTAAAAGAAAAGCGTTTTTCGTCAAAATGCCTTTTACACCGAAAAGATCCCGCTCTGAAGATATGGATGATTCAATGGAAAAAAGAATAAAACGTATCTCAATCGAAGGAAATATTGGTAGGTTTGATATTATGATCTACAATTATAACTTAGAATAAACTGCTTTTGTTTGTTATATAAATACGTTTATTTGTTAAACTGATAGCTATATTGTAAACCTATGAATGTAGATACGGTAAAGGTGCATATAATCTCGTGTCTTTGGGGGCCTATTGTAAAATGTCAATGGTCCTCAACAATGTAACACTTTTGCGGAATTTGCCTGTACAATGTTTGAGCGGGTAAGGTAGTTCCTTTCCTTAAGTGAAGGATCTCTCTTTATGCACAGCGGCGGGCAAATCTACATTTGTGCGATTTTTGGAGCAAGAGAGCTCGGACTGGGAAGTGGTGCCAGAGCCTATCGCCAGGTGGTGCAATGTCCAAACCAATGGCAGTGACTTTGAGGTACAGTCAAGAGTGTTTTAAGTGTTCAGTCAGACCTACATCCTTATAACTGCCAAACTCTTGTACAAGACTCAAATTTGCTAAGAAAGTTTATCTTCACAAACTAACAACTGTTTGACTGCTCATTTGGTGTGCAGCTGCAATCTGAAAATATATTTGCACTTGTGACACCATGCATACCCCCGGAGCAACAGATGGTCCCAGGCTAGCTACCATTCCTGGGAAAACGCGCTCTGCACTATCTATTGGAGGAAACGTCTCTAGAGATGATTTTTTTTATGCAATTTTATGTACGCTGCTCTCAAAATATCCGAATCTATATTTGAGTAAAAATAAAATAGAGATGACCAACATTTTAAACAATTGTTTACTAGAATAACTGGCTTTTTCTGCTGTAAAAGTACAGCATATTGTGTGAAGTACATTTTATTGTTGGCTTACATGTTGAGTACACTGCTGAGTAATGTGGTATTAATCATAATCAGGAATCAGGAAGTCAATTTGCCATTTCAAAGCAATTTTGCTTGACATCTTGTATCCTGTAGACTTGAACCTGTTAATTTGGTTGAACAATTTGAGAGCAATATCTAATTGAAACTAGATTGTAGTATGTTTTATTTATTTAATTCACTTCACAAATGTAATTACATCCATCTAAATTGGGATTAAACTGTATGTTGTGCTGCCCTTGCCTACAATATGCCTTTGTTGGAAATAAACGGACCAAATGCTACACAGTTTTCCTAATTTTAGGCTCAGTAATAATACTACAATACATACGGTGCAGCAAATGTAGGCTTATTTGTACATTTACATTAAACCATGAGACTAAAGTAATAACTATGTTTGTAGGAACTGAGCACTTCTCAGAGAAGTGGAGGTAACGTGTTGCAGCTCATGTATGAGAAGCCAGAGAGGTGGGCCTACACTTTCCAGAGCTATGCCTGCATCAGTCGAGTCCGAGCTCAGATCCGATCAGCCAATGGGAAGCTTAGAGATGCTGAGAATCCTGTCCAGTTTTTTGAGCGCTCTATCTACAGTGACAGGTATCAACAGTAATCAAATACAAGAAATATATAATGAGACTTGACACAACTGATTTATAACATTGGGTTTGTTTTTTACTTGTTCTTGTTTTTGACGTAGGTACATCTTTGCGTCCAACCTTTATGAGAGCGAGTGTATGAATGATACCGAATGGTCTGTCTACCAGGACTGGCACAGCTGGCTTCATAGTCAGTTTGGCAAACACATAGAATTAGACGGGATTGTGTACCTCAGAGCAGCTCCAGAGGTATTATAACATGACTTCTTGGTGATCTTTTTTGATTGCCCTATTAACAATCATTGATATTTTTCTAATTGTACAGAAATGCTTGGAACGATTACATTTACGAGGCAGAGAGGAAGAGCAAGAAATCCCTCTGGAGTATTTGGAGAAGCTTCACTTTAAACATGAGAGCTGGCTACAACACAAGACCATGAGGTTAACAGATTTTCCACAGACACTCATATCCAGATTAAACAATTTTCTAATTGGGCTTTTATATCTGTTATATTTATAGCATGGAATTTGAGTACCTTAGCGATGTGCCCGTTTTGACAATTGATGTCAATGAAGACTTCAAGGGTAATAAAAACAAAGGTGCAGACATGATTGAGAAGGTGAGACAACCAGAATTTAAGAGCTACATTCCCCCATTTGCTTTCTGAGTAATATTTTGTAAGTGATCCTCCTCATTCTGGGTAACAGTGCTGTTTTTGTCATTCCAGGTGAAGGAGTTCTTGAATACGCTGTAGAGCGGATATGACCACATTATTACTGTTAGGTTTTACTTGAAGAAATTCCAGTAGGGGTTTTTAAACACATTTTTTTTGTATCAGTTTTACTAAAATTGTATGTAGACTTGTTGTATTTATGATAAATTACACAACCATGTCAACAAATTTGTAAATATTTTCTCAAAGTTTATTAAATATTTTCATCTTTTCTATATACCCTACTGTAGGATTACTACAGTATGTACTGTAATAGATAATATCTCTTTGATTGTTTTAGTAGTAAGGCAGTGCTATATATATATATATAGTGTGTGTGTGTGTGTGAACATATATGTATGTGTGTATATATGTGTGTGTGTGTATATAATGTATGTTTTTGTTCAATATTGTAAAAAATACATTTGAACATAGTCAAGTGCAATTTCATATTAAGTAATTGAAAGTTAAGGTTAACAAATTAGGCGGATGAAAAGAATTGTAACAAGGACAATTAACCCCATCAGCAAAACAAGTATCCTATCACAAATTAATAACTTAAAAAATGACTAACTATATTACATATATTACATTACATTAAATTGTCATTGATGATACAAATAGATTTTTGACTTGCACAGTGAAACTGAATAATGAAAAAACAAACACTAAAGGCTTGTGTCGGGAGGAGTGAGTTTGTGACCTCCACCCCTCCGTGGCGTCACAGGAGGAGGGATGTTGCTTTAAATATGGAAAAAAGACACGCTGCGCTCGGAGTCTTTACACTTTGAGAAGAAATGTCGATCAGATGTTTCTTCAACACAAGTTTATATCGGGTGGCACATTATGAGGCTTGTGTGCTGTACTTTCAGATTCATTTTTAGAGTCCGCTAGCAATTCCAGCAATACAACTTCCCTTCTTTAGTCACAACTTGAAAGGCGCGTCAACTGTTGTGTTTGTCTAAACCTGATCAAGCCGAAAGAACGAGACGACTGAACTTTTCCACAATGGCATCTGAAAAAAACAAGTAAGTTGACAGTTTCAGTGTTTTGTTGTTTGTGTAGTCTTAAGAGCGTCTACTTAATATCTAATGTTTAGAACACGTAACAGTGTATGGGCTTTAAGTTGACCAGGTGGCAACTTTCAACTCAATGTTGTCACTTTTGATCTATATTCAACCAATTTTTAACACAGTTGAATAATGAAATTTATTTTGTATACCATACTTGAGCTCTCGTGTTCCATTGTGTATTAGCTCACATCTACATTTCGCCAAGCTAGCATTACCTCAATGCTGTGGCTCTGAACAGCTTGGTAATCTATTTATCCAAGAAGCTGTCACTTTGAATTAGAGAGACTTGGTTACGTGGCTCGGCAGCAACTTCATAAATAAAGCCGTGTGTAGGGAGCATGTGTCCCCTTCACCATGTGGCTTTAACCAGAAAGGTATATTTGAACCTTGGCGAATGTGTGCGTCAACGTTGCGCAATTACGCTGGTGCCAAACGCGGAAACATGTAGCCTGTTCTCAACTCTTTTACTTCTTTGTTTTGCAAACATGTACGGGAATGCGGATCATGCCTGATGTGTATCTGCCTTTGATGCACATTTCAAACAAGTGATTTTCTATATCAATTTTGGACAATGAGGGCAGTGTAAACCAGAATCCTATAGGCTATTCAATTAATTGTTCAGGCAGAGAAACTATATTCTTCCCTTTTGTAAGTCTATATTTTTACCCTTAATCCTTTCTGTCTTTCTTTCGTTTTGTTTGAACCTAACAACAAATCCTACCCACTCTATACAAGAATGCATCTTCCATTCAGAACAGATGAACCTGTAATAGGCCGCTATAAACTTGAGTATCATTGGACATGCATAGTATAGCACATTATAAGGTTATTGTAAACTTATACTCTAAAGAAAACATGTAAAACCTTGAGTGATATTCTTTGTGATAGTCATTTTTTAAATTGTGGTTACATGTGGGCTAACCTTGCTGGTGGGGCTGTATACATCACTCTGAAAGAGACTGGGATGATCCCTGATCTTGAACGACTGATCCGGGCTCCTCACGCACTGTCAGCTTTAGCCCTGTGAGGTCATCGAGGGGCACCTATAGTTCAGTGTCATATTTATAAAGTGAGCCAAGGATTAGAACATCTCATGATTGTGGCATTCAATATATGATTTGTTTTCTGTCTCTCTTCTGTCCATTAGAAGTGCATCTTGCTTTCATAAGGGTGTCTGTGTTGTAGACTAAGTACAATCTTCATATGGGGCCAGTAGTAAACCTGTAATGTGAGCTGCCATCATGGGCAGTTTCTCGAGCCATGTGCAACATGACATGCGCTCGAACAACACATTTTGACCCTGCCAAAATATGTGTTTGTTGCCTCTGTTTGCAAGTAACAATATAAACTGGAATGCAGTACTTCTTCAGAAGCTTTTATTAGAAAAGGGTAGATTTGTATCAAAATATAATCTATAATTAGTGGAGATCTAATTATTGAGACTCCAACTTTTATTTGAATCTAAACCACTATACAACATGATCCTTTTTTCTTCCCTTGTCTCTTCCCAAGATGTGATAGGTATTCACTTGGGAATATAATATGTTGTGTCCTCCCTGACAATGTTTACAGTACTGCTACATCCACCCATGGTTAAGCCAGAGTTTAAAAGATTTTTTTGATAATATCTCTTCATGTGGAATAGGCACTTTTTTATTGAAATGGTTTTAAAATGTAACACCTGTTTTTTTTCTTGCACTTGATTGTTTCTTACAGAGTGGAGGATGAAGCAGTTTTGGACAGAGGAGCAGCCTTTGTCAAGCATCTCTGTGATGAAGAGGAGGTAGAAGGTATGTAAAAACATTGGCACAAACTAGGGCTGCAAATTAACCTGTATCCATATACTAAGAGTATGGGAACGAAATATCACTGGCAATTCACTATTGAAAAAGATGTGTTTGTTTGTCTGTTAAATTTGTCATTAAAGATTATGTTGAATTCATTCTTTTCTCATATCATAATACTAGTTTTGATGCAATAATCTCTTGTATGTTCTTCAGTCTATTATTTTGACTGTCTTAATGTACAACAATGTTATTATTGTTACTAATGACTTCCTGATATTCAGTCACCATTTCCCGTATGAGCTTCTAGGAAATGATAGTTTACAGCTATGTCTGAATGATGATCCTCCAGAGAAGTGTATGAGCCCTATCACTCAGCCATATTATGCAATCGTTGTGGAACAATGTGTCAAAGAATGTTCCTTGTTCCGTGACAAAAGTCTTGTGTTTATGTTCTTAAAGTGTTCAGACAGATTGTACATCAAGGATTACTTCCGTTAACCAGCACATCTACATCATCTGTGCTCACTGCTGAAATCTGTTTTGTTGGGCAGGTCACCACACTGTGTACATTGGAGTGCATGTTCCTAAGAGCTACCGGCGGAGGAGACGTCACCGGCGCAAGTCCAGCCATAAAGAGAAGAAAGAAAGGACAGAACATGTCACAGAGGGATACAAGTCAGATGGAGACAATGTAGAGGACTGTGTTTCAAGTGTCCTCAAACCTCTTAGTAAGTATCAGTGCATTCACCATATCTGCAAGCAGACCTTTGCTGGTGCCAAAACCAAAAAACTCAAACCTTTTATTAACAGATTTAATATAATCATGTTAATCTGAAAATTACACTGCTTAGTGGTGGTTTATACGACACTTTCGAAGGCCGCTAATTTAAGTCAATTTCTGTAAGTTTGTAGTAAATTATTATTTTTGTATACATTTTTGCCTTAGTCATAAAATTATACAGTCAAGCAAAATGCATTCACACACTATGGGAGGCCTTCTGTGGTGCAGAACAACAGATGCCGTCTTGTATCAAAGCTTCCTCATAAAATAGCATGATAACCATTAATCCTATGATTGTTTCTAGAGAAGGATAAATTCTAAGAGTCTTTACATATCTTGGCTTGGTCTTAACTTTGAACACGTGAATGTTTTGTTCTAGCGGTTGAGACATGTACTAATAATATCTGAAGTTTGGCCATTTCTTTGAAAAGTCAATAGATGGAATGCATCTTTAATAATCACAGGGACTCATTAGAGGTTTAATGTAAAAATACATCTGTAAATGATTTAGTCCTAAAAAAGATGCATATAAATTGTGTAGGAAATTCTTAAAATAATAAATGACAGAGGTAAGACAACAAGTATTTTATTGTTTGGATATGTATACATGATTGAGCTGACTGGACATGGGTAGGCTTACAAGTGAATGTCCTTTTGTGAAACATCTTCAACAAGACATAAGTGATACGACAGAAGGCAAAACGTCTTGTAATGGCACGTTTTGCACTTTTGTCATTTTAAGCTGTTTGCTTACTGAGTACCCATACAGTGGAGTAATTCTCTTCATGCTGCTTTGGAAAAAGTCAATAATAGTACCAATTCCAAAGACATCTTGTCCAGGCTCAAATAAGGACTATAGACCTGTAGCCCTAACAAGTTTTGTGATGAAATGTTTTGAAAAGATAATGGTCAATAGTCTAAAATCTGAAGTTTCTCCTTATCTTGACCTGTTTGCGTACAGACAGGACCTTAGTACAGCAGACGCAGACATCAGTCTGTCACACCTGATCTGTAAACATCTGGAATCTCCCTTGACTTATGCAAGCATCTGATTTTCAGTTTTTAAATGCTACATTTAACACTGTACACCCCAATCTTCTTATCCAAAAACTGTTTGACTTGAATGGAAGCCCTGCACCTTTGAAATGGAACTCCCTCTTAACAAATATATTGCAAAAAGTGTGTGTCAACAGTACTTTATCTAAAGTCAAAAATTGTAATACAGGTGTGACACAAGGTGCAGCAAGTTTGCCTATTTGGTTCACTCTGCATACAAATGAACGCCAAAACGGCCAGCCAGGAATCAAAATCATATCATTTTCAGATGACTCAATAATTGTAAGCCTTCTTAACAATGATGACTGTATCATAACGTACCATAAAGTTGAATTATTTTCTGTGTTGGGGCAATGAGCATCACTTAACTCTTGATGTGAACAAAACTAAGGAAATTGTATTTGATCTTTGAGCCCTGCAAGCTCATGATCCTGTTCTCACTGAAGGTAGATGATTTGAGCAGATGTTTAAATTATTTGGATGTGTACATCAACAACTTGTTTAAAATCGAATGTCCGTGTTGAATTTCTTTGTTCCAAAGTGTCCCAGAGGTCCCACTTTCCCAGGAGACTTGGGCTATTTGGTCTGAGCACAAAACTCATGTCCTGTATTTATAATGTTGTTTTGGAGAGTCTGGTTGCCTGCTTTGGTTCGTTAACTGCCCAGTGTAAAACTAAACTTGAAAAACTGGGAAATAAGGCCATGAAATAAATAAGGCCTTCTCTGCAAGACATTATTGAAAACTCTGTTCTCGCTTAGACCAGACAGATTGTGGGGAACACCTCACCTGTTCTTCCATCAGGTGGGTGTTACTGAGCACATAACATTAAGAGTAACAGATATATAAACTAATTTGAGCCAAACTCTGTTGCCCTCTTGAACAAATCTGCTCCACAAAGGTCCTCTTCTGTCACTTTATAACCAATGTGTTTCAGTATGGATAATGGGCTTTTTTTTTTTAGCTCTGACTGTAGTGAAGAGTGTAACTGCTTTTTAAGATGCGAGCAGTGAGCCCAAGACAAATTTCCCTTTAGGGATAATAAAATTAATCCTAATCTTATTCCTAATCTTTATCTTTTTCACTGGCTCTGTAATCCTGCTTTATTACACTCAGGTGCAGATCAGTGTGTATGCTTAGTCATTCTTTGGGATGATAAGTGTTACTACACAAGTTGTACTAAATGTATTACTTCTCCGTGGCTGTAATGTTTTGCAATCAGCTTTTACTAGTACAGTGGAAACAAATACAGGATATATAAACCCAAAGACTTCTGAGAAAACAGATTTAATTTGGACAGACCCAGAGTCTGAGCTGTGTTTATATTTGCACATATAATACATCAAAATGTAAGTATACCCGGTCTAGATTAGGACTAAACCAAGACTGGAACAGAACCAAACCAGGTATGCCTGAGTGAATGCACCCTTACTGTCCCCCATAGGTGAATTAAGTACTCTCCAAGGATAAAATACTCTAAAGTCTGGCTCTACTCTGTCTGGCAGTGTCAGATGGGGAGAGTTGTACGTGTACTACCACTATTTAATGATGCTATCCGTGCCATTTTAATGTATGGGTTGCGTCATGAGCCAGACAACATGGGCCCAACTCTAAACACACGGGTAGTCATTAATGATTAGGACCTTCCAACTGGTGTACTTTTTGCTGTTTTGCCATCGCTATGAAGCAGCATAATCCTGTTTATTTTGCCAGACCCTGTGAAGCTGTCCACTTAAAAGTGTGTGTAACTACAACAAAAGCAGGGTTTTCATTGATAACAGTTGTGGGCTTGAAGAACGCACACAGTGTTGTGGAAAATGCCAAGTTAAAAGTCAGGTTTTACAAGTGTAGAACTGTAAAGCAAAAGACCCCATGGCAATAAGGGAAAATTGTGTTTTTATGTTTTGGGTCGACTGCAATGATGGTGCTTTAGGGTGTGTTCACACTTGCCCATATACCACATCAGAACTAAACAAGGACTAAACCCTGATCTAAATATGGACTAGACCATGACTAACATAGGACTAGAACAGGACCAAACAAAGTCTGCCTTTCTGGACTAAACCGTGAACGTACCCTTAGAAATTTTTTTGACCACCACGATAAGAACATTCTTTTTTTAGTTTTAAGTAACTAAGATAAACCTTTCTACAGCAGTAAAACATGTCCAAAGGTACTATTTTAGTAACAACTTACCTAAATAAAGCCTGACTACACCTGGAGGATTAAGGGTTTAAAGGCACCAATACCTTGTCAAAGAATGGAAATAGCAATGTTCCTTACCTCTCTTACTTGCACTTTGTCTCATCATTTATGAGTTGCACAACTTCTCAGAAGGGATAACTGGTGGTAGTGGTAGTTTTTCCTAATGAATAACACATTATGTACAACATAAGTATACTTCAGATACTTTACTGTCACCTGCAAAAAAGAGTTTATTGCATAGATAAAACTTTTCCTAATATCCCTTGAATAATGTTTACAATGAATACTTTTTTCAAGAGCTAACATGTTTATTGCATCGCTTGGTACCAAAGTCTCTTTATATCACTACTATATCTTTTTTATGGAATTATATAATTGAAAATTATTAACACAAATTAGTTACTTCCCAAACTATTGTTTTGGCTTGATAAATTACATGTTGATTTTTTTTCCCTGAGTTGTTTTGTGCTGTTGCACATGTAATTTCAGTGAGAAATCTGTCACCATAAGTCATTTGATTTGAATGTAAGCCTTACACTTGTGAAATGATTTTACTCCCTCTTAACAAATAGATCGCAACAAGTGAAAGTCAACACTACTTTATCTAAAATGTCTCAATTTATCAAAAATTGTAATACAGGTGTGCCACAAGGTGCAGCAAGGTTGCCTGTTTTTTAACCTTGTATACAAATGGATGCCAGAACAGTCAGCCAGGAAACAAATTTAGACATATTAAATAGACAAATAGACAAATTTAGCAGGTTGCTTCATTTAAAGGTGTAACTTTCTGGTGGAGGGTCTGCCACCTAATGTACATGTTTCTCTGTTCCAAGCTGCCACAGAGGCTCCTCTTTTTAAGGAGTCTTAGGGGGTGTTCCATCAAACTTGCTTAACAAGTCTAGGCTTATCCCGAAATCCTGAGCTGAAACTAGCTTCATTTAAGCCTCAAGTCTTTCCATAACAGAAATAAGCCTGAATCTAAGCAAAGTGAAGCGCTGTGCTTTGTGTGCAATTGTGGTGACTCTGGGTGACTCCAGATCAATGGAGCAACAACATCACGGAAAATGGGCCATAAAAATTTGATGTTTTTTATGATCTGACTAAACGAAAGAGGAGCCACAGCGTGCACCCACAGAGTTTGATTTGGGCCACAGAACTTTTCCTCAGATCATTCTGATCTGATGAGTGAGATGAAAGACATGCCTGGAGCCCGACCGATATGGATTTTGTTGTGGCTGATATGAAACCGATATAATGAGAGTTGGGGCTGCCGATAGCCGATATAATCACCGATATATTTAGTGATGTCAAAATTCACTGTAAATCTTGAATTGTTTAAAAAAACTTAGGTTTGGCTCTAGTGGATTCTAAGTTGGGTTTATTTAGGCAACATTTATTGTTATTCTGACTCTTTACATCATATTTACATACAGTAGGTTGGCCTAATGGCATTTTTGCATCACATTTTAGCTACTAGTGATGGGTATTCCAGTTTTTTTTTTTTTTTTTTTGGAGAACAGGCTCTTTTGGCTCGGCTCACTAAAGCAGCTGGCTCTTTCGGCTCCCAAGCAACTCTTGAGATTGTTTTGTTGCAAGCAGGACTAAACCAAAACTGAACCAGGACTGAGTGTCGGGACTCGGTTTCTATCTCTCTCCTTCACTCGAGCCCAAGATTAGTCCTGGTTTATTCATTTTATGCTGAACTGCAGCCAAATATGCACTTTTTTTTTTATCCTATGCACACGCAGATTTCTGAAAGTTTCGTTTTCAGCCGCTGCTGCTGTCAAACTACGGGTCTACATGCGGCTTAAAGAGAAAAAGTGAGAAAAAGAGAAAACATGGCTCCCAATAAGAAGCAGGCCCCGTTGTTCGCTTCAAAGAGCCGCTTCGATCGCGACCGACCCATAACTCCTAGCTAGTAAAGAAGCTACCGCTATTAGCCTTTAGCCATAAAAACGTGCGCTCCGCGGTAATTAATTATATGCATAAATGTGGATCATTTACACGTCTATTCACAGCTCATTTACATATCAATGCAGGTCCAGTAGCAAATATACGGACAATACAGTCACTTTACAATAGGCCAATAGAAAACAGCCTGTTTATGTGCGGGAGCTACAGCAGCTAATCGCTAACAAAACCTAAACTAGCTTCAAAGTCGATGTATTTCCAACACTCACCGCTCACACAGGCTCCTCCTCACATCACAAATAATAAAAGTCCTTTTAATCCAGACTCAAACCGATTGTCCGTAAAAAGAATATAATCTCAGTGTTGCGCACCGCTGCGGGTGTAAACAATAGTACGAGGGAAGTGACGTGACTCTGGTGGCGTGTTCAGGGACAGTACGGACACAGACAAATTACACCGCAGATAAATACTGATGCGGAGCCACATATTTGGATATTTATCTGTCTGGAAATTGGATTAAATGAACATAATGTAGAGAGTCTAAGCTTTATAACGAGGTATAACATGCCCACGTGAAATATCGGCCCATATCAGCAAGCATATCGGCTGATAGCCGATATGTCTCCAGGTGCCCATATCGGCCGATAATATCGGCCAGACGATATATCGGTCGGGCTCTAGACATGACTACCCCCTTCCTCTCCTGTTTGCTCCCCCTGCTCTCCCAGTCACTTCCTGGAGGAAGCTGACTGCGTAGTGTGGATCCTGGTGGGGGGAATGAAGTTGCCTGATTCCTTCCCGATGCTCAGTAGTATGTGTGGAGCTTAAGTTCCGCTGCGCGTGAAAGTAAAGCTTTAATGGACCTCTTCACACGTACCCTAACAAGAAACGATAAAATCCATGCCAAGGTGTTTGTAGTTTGACAGGGAGTGAGAGATAAGGGTATGAAGAGGGAGACAAGACGTGATGAAGGAGACAGAACCTACTGAAACCATCTCATCCAAACAAGTGTCTGTGCATAAAAGCTGCACTGCCCCTCACAACAGCTACATGTGCAAGATCATTTTGATGAAATAATGGCCATAGACTTTCATATTACACTCGCCTTTCTGACGAGTGCGTAGTAGCGTATAAACTGTAACAGTCTCAAGCGATGAGACTATAAAAGTTAACTTTTTCAACTGTATCAGACAGAGATGTTCTAACACAGGTGTGTAATGCATGTGCTGAAACTTTTGACTAAACTGGGTTTTTTTTACATTCTTGGAGACAAAGATAAAATAATCTTGACAGTTAGTCTGGTCCTGAGCAGGTTTGTGCCTGGGTACTTGTTACTGTGGCAACTCAGCTCCACCTGTGTTTAGGCACTTTGATGGAACAGAACTGAGGTTTGACAAGCCTGTATTTCTCAAATAAACAAGGCTTTCGCTTTAGCTCACTTCATGGAATAACCCCTTAAGCTATTTTGTGTAAGCACAAAAATCATGACCTGTTTTGCTGTTTTGAAAATCTTTCACCATAATGTTTATAAAATAGTGTAGAAAGCTCAGATTTTTTCTGTATTTATCTTAAGGCATACTTAAGGCTTGTCAAAGCCTACTCCCATAAGATCTTAGAAGCTAAGCAAGGTTGAGCCTGGTTAGTACTTGGATTTAAGACCCCTGGGAATATCAGGTGCCACAGTGGGGCGACAGTGGCACAGCTGTTGCTCTGTGCTTAGGCAAAGCACTTCATCCACATTGCCTGGTATGAATATGGTGTATGTTGGTGGTCATACAGCTTCACTTCCATTAGTCTACCTCAGGGCTGCTGATGCTACAGTAGAAGCTTACCACCACTGAGTGTAGAGTGAATGAATACTGCACTGTAAAGTGCTTGTCTTGAAATGCGCTATATAAATCCAGTGATCAATCAATCATTGTCATCACCTAATTTTCATTAATTAGCAATATTCATATTGGAAAACAATGCCTGTTATGTTATGCTATAATATTATATATTGTTATAGCAGAAATGGCATGCAGAATTAACTAAAATCTTAAAGTTATGCTTAATTTTATGTATTGTATTTTATTTTCATGCAGTTTCTCCAGCTGAGAGAATACGGTTTATCCTGGGAGAAGACGATGATGGCCCTCCGCCTCCACAGCTCTTCACTGAGCTTGATGAACTACTGTCTGTGGATGGACAGGAGATGGAGTGGAAGGAGACGGCCAGGTTAGCTACAAGAGTAAACTCCAACCACATTGCCAATGTTGATTTCAAACACAGTAATGCAAAAGTAGTAGAGGAAAGAATTTGTCTTTGTGTGCATGAGCGGCATCTCCGTGAACACCCAGTTGGTGCTTATCTGATAGGCGCAGTCAGGGAGATGAGGAAGTGAAAGAAACACCCACAACTAGAGTAAGCACATGAGATTTGTATTTATAGTTGAAACAATAACAAAAGGGAGTCATTCATTCTAAGAAACATTCTCTAAACAGAAGACTTTAACTATATCTTTTGTTTTTTGTAAGTAAAACTTTGCTCAGCATAAGGTGGTACATATCTTTTTTAAATTAAATCTTGATTTTTTGTTACCCTATATTGGATTATTCCAAAGTGTTACTGAATGTGGTCAGGTAGATTTGCAGGTGCCTGTTACTCTCACTAGTTAAAGCTGGTGTTACTGCAGGAGGTGGTTGAGGTCAGTGGTGTCTTCTTGTCCTCTGTACGGCACATAGTCCTGGCCAATGGGACATTTTATCCCCACGAGAAACCCCATCCACAGTGCTCACAGAATGGCTCTTTGTCCTGCCTTACCATTTTTTTACGGTCAGATGTAGCAAGACACAGACATGCCTACATGCATTTCTACATGTCTGTTTACATGTCTGATGATTTATTGCTTTTTTCTATGCTTCCCCCATTCATATCATGTGACCTGTAGCTAATTCACAACAGCAAAAGTGTTTAGTAAAGAAACAAGAACCGCATCTTGTCGCCTTTTGTCTGTAACCCATACAGGAGCAACAGTTGTTCTTTAAACACTTCACATGCCTGTCTAATATTTCTTTAGCAATTTAAATTTGTCATTATTTTGTCAAGATGGATAAAGTTTGAGGAGAAAGTGGAGAAAGGTGGAGAGCGCTGGAGTAAACCCCACGTGGCTACACTGTCCCTACATAGCCTGATGGAACTCAAGACATGCATTGAGAAGGGTACAATCATGCTTGACCTGGAAGCCACCACACTGCCTCAAGTTGTTGGTAAGTTGCCCAATATGTCAACTCTTTTTTTTTTTTTCCTGAATCCCGCTGTATTTCTTGACCTGTTTTGTTTATAACAGAGGTGATCACAGACAACCAGATTGAGAGTGGACAGCTGAAGCCTGACCTGAAGGAGAAGGTCATGTACACTTTGTTGAGAAAACACCGCCATCAGACAAAGAAATCCAACTTGCGTTCACTTGCAGACATTGGCAAAAGTGTTTCAAGTGCAAGTAGATTGTTTTCTAACCCTGAAAATGGTAAATTCATTTTCCCCCCTTCTTTACTTCCTGAATTTGTTTTGTGGTCTGTCTTTTCACAATCTCTTGCTTTCTGTTCTTTTTTCCTTCCTCTCTGCTGCATCTTTGCTGTCCCTGCCTTCATGCCTCTTGGCCATTATCTGTAGTACGCAACCCTCATGAGCATGTGCCTTGTTTAACCCCTCAAGAGTCAGATGAGCCATGTGAGGAGGTCATAAGAAGTTCCAGCATGGGATACCTCTGTAAGTGAGGTTGTGGCATTCAGTCCCATACAAGCAATATTTATACAGTAGTTTTTAAGGTTTCTAGGTCGCAGAAGATTTAAACTGAAATGGTAAATTGGTAGTTATGTCTTTTTAAACAATTTCTATAGATGGAAAGTAGTTGTAAGAACTGTTAAAATTGTGCAATCTGGTATTTGGTCACTTTTGCATAATCTTTCCTTTCTCCAAGTTTCTGGCTATGAAATGTCTCAACTCTTTTATATTCCTATAATATTACTATTTAGTCAAATTCTTGTTATGATTTTAAGTTAAGCGTGTCAATGCCTTTGCAGGTAGTCCAACCCCTGCCCACCGAAACCTCACATCCAACAGCTTGAGTGACTTCTCAGATAAACCAGAGAAAGATCAGGTACACGTATATCCATGTTTCATCCTGCTGGCACTGAAGGTCTCCACTAACAAAGAGTCAGTGTGCTTAGTCATTAAGTGACCTTTGTCAGTGCTCGTGCGAGCCTTGTGCTTTTGGCAAAGAAGTCCTTGGTTTGGTCTGCTGAACAGTAACAAAAGCTCACTGTCTACCACCTTTTTCCTATACACTACTCAATTTCTTCACATTGGCCTGTATTTGAAGTCTTAGCTGAAGTTTTATGATTGAAGTATATAATGTTATAATAACAGTAATGATGATTATAATGGTTATAATCTCCAGTACAAACTAGCCTGGTGGGCCCTCCCTGGTGTTCTTCTTGGAGCTCAACAGTCCCACCCACTTGGAAAAATAAATTTTTCCCCTTAGACTTTTTGGAAAATTTAAATATTAAGAGTTTTAAGGCATGAAGAAGGCCAATCAGCTATGTAATAACTTTACTAAAACATGTCTAAAACATGTTTCCAGAAGTTGAATATAGGCTACTCAGGGCCCAGTGCAGGGATGAGCCCTTCAGCCTGCCTGCCCTCTGGTCAGAGACGCCAGGTTACATTTGTAATACAAATATGTTGGAGCTGCACCTTATGTTAGTTATAACTTGGATATGACTGTAATTATAATGACACTCAAATACATGTTTTGCACTATTCCTCTCATTTCCTTTTTTTTTTTTTACATCCAGCTCAAGAACAAGTTTATGAAGAAACTCCCACGTGACGCTGAAGCTTCAAATGTGTTGGTAGGAGAAGTGAATTTCCTGGAAACTCCCTTTGTGGCATTTGTTCGGCTGCAGCAAGCAGTGATGCTGGGGGCTTTAACTGAGGTCCCTGTGCCTACAAGGTAAGAACAACCATCCATGGATGATCAAAAAATGTATAAATATATAATGTTATATATTTCTGCCCATACAAGGTTCCTGTTTGTCCTCTTGGGTCCCAAAGGAAAAGCAAAGTCTTACCATGAGATTGGGAGAGCCATAGCAACCCTGTTGTCTGATGAGGTTTGTTTAACTTAACTTTATTGGGGGTATTCCATCAAAGTGGCTTATAGGCTTATCCTGAACTGAAACTAGCTCCATCTCCAGTTTAAGCTTCGACTCGTTCCATGACAGAAATAAGCTTGAGTCTGACCAAACCCTCAGACCTAGGGTTTAAACTGCACTTTATGCATAGTCTTGATGACTTTGAGAAGGCCAGATCAAAGACATTAGAGAAAATGGGGTAAAGGCGTGATATTTTTTATGATTTGACTAAACAAGAGAGGACCCTTAGCGGGCACGTACAAGAGTTTGATTTGGGGCAAGGAACATTTTTGGTCATTCTGAGCTGAGGAGTTAGAGGAAAGACACAACTTCCTCCTTCCTCTCCTGTTCGCTCCCCCTCCTCTCCTGGTCATTCTATGGACAGAGAGGAGGCTGATTGCGTAGTACGGAGCCTGGTTAATTCCCACAGGGAATGAAGTTGTCTGACCCCTTCCCGATGCGCGGTAGTATGTGCGTGAATGTAAAGCTGTAACGGACCTCTTCATATGTACCCTGACTGCGTAGTGTGGATCCTGGTGGGGGGAATGAAGTTGCCTGACTCCTTCCCGACGCGCAATAGTATGTGTGGAGCTTAAGTTCCACTGGTTGTGAAAGTAAAGCTGTAACGGACCTCTTCACACGTACCCTAAAAAGAAACGATAAAATCCATGCCAAGGTGTTTGTAGTTTGACAGGGAGTAAGAGATGAGGGTATGAAGAGGGAGACAGACGTGATGAAGGAGCGAACAGACAGAACCTACTGAAAACCATCTCATCCATACCAATGTCTGTGTGTGCATAAAAGCTGTACTGCTCCTCACAACAGTCACATGTACAAGATCATTTTAATGAAATAATGGCCATAGACTTTCATATTACGCACGCCTTTCTGACGAGTGCATTGGAGCATATGGACTGTAACAGTCTCAAGCGACATGCGACTATAAAAGTAACTTTTTCAACTGTATCAGACAGAGATGTTCTAACATGTTTGACTAAACTGTTTTTTTTAGACGTTCTTGGAGACAGAGCTAAAATAATCTTGACAGTTAGACTGGTCCTGAGCAGATTTGTTTCTGAGTGCTTGTTAGTGTGGCAACTCAGCTCCACCTGTGTTTAGTCACTTTGATGGAACAGAACTGAGGCTTTGACAAGTCTGGATTTCCCAAATAAGCCAGGCTTTCGCTTTAGCTCACTTCATGGAATACCCCTATTATCATGTCCGAGTATAATGCTTGTTTTGATATATTTTGTTTGGTGTAGCTTTTGTTGTATTTCTTCCTCTATTTACATAATACATATTTTTGCCAGGTTATCTTTGTCCCCTGTGTCACTAAATCCTTGTATGTCAACATCTTTAACTAGGAAATGTGTTTCAGAACTTCTGCAGGTTAAACTTTAGCCTCTACACACTTTGCTGTGATAGTAAGCTTTCAGTGTTTGCCTTTTCGACTACTCAGGGTGACACCATAGGGATGAAACATTACTGGTTTAGGTTTAGGTTTATCTATATTTGTCATCTACCATGTACAAACTCATTAATCTTACAAAAGAAAAGGATGATTTAGATGCTGCTTCTTGCAATCCTTGGGCAAGTGAAAAAAAAATCCTCATTTCATTAGAATTACATTATAAGACTTAAGTCTTAATCCATAATTAGCATTAGCATTAAAATACAGTAAAATGTCACCATTTCCAATACTGTTTATTACAATGTTAAATATGATAAATATGAACAATATCAACATTATAAATAATTATGTGCAAGTTTGTACAGTGAATATAGTACAGTACAACTTAACTGCCGACTCCCCCTCTGGTACCCACACAACATTTGTTTGTGTGTGTATATGCACGCATGTGTGCATGCATAGTGTATGCTGTTGTCAGGTTGTTTTGGAATCTCAGAAGTCCTTATGCAATACCACTCACTTGCAGTAACTTATATTATATAACATAATATTAACAAAAATAAACCACACACAGTATAAATGTCTTGTTTTAAGTGAAAAATAGTGAGGAATATTTTTTGATGGTAATGAAAGCTTTTTCTTCTTGCTTCTAAGTTATTACCCATAATGCATTTGTTGCTAATAGCCTAATTATAATAGAAAACAACATTGTATTGTATTGTATTCTGTTACAAACTAACTTTGCCCTAACTGTTTGAGATGCTAATTTGGAGATTTAAAGACTGAATGAATTTGCCATTATTTAACCAAGTCGACAGCATGATGCAGTAGCATGTTGCATTTTTTATTCTGTAAGCTCTTCATCCTTCCTTAGGTTTTTCATGACATTGCCTACAAAGCAAAGGACAGACAAGACCTGCTGGCTGGCATTGAGGAGTTCCTTGATGAGGTCATTGTTCTGCCTCCTGGTGAATGGGACCCTGACATCAGGATAGAGCCTCCTAAATCTCTGCCCTCATCAGACAAGAGGTCTGTGAGATAATCCACATGACTTAACCCATGATAAATCCCAGTGAGCATTAAAGATGCATGTCTCCAAATCCTATACAAATGATTATAAACAATACCAGAACTGTTCAGTCTTTAGACTTTCTACAGATATGTTAGAATATTAAACTGTATCTCACTTCAAATGTGTTTATGACATTTCAGAAAAAACATGTATTCTGGAGTAGATCCCCCTCATATGAATGGAGATGCTCCCCATGATACAGGGCACAGTGGAGCAGGAGGAGGTGGAGGAGGACATCAGGTTGGAGAGGAGCTGCAACGCACAAATAAGTAAAAACAGAATCCACTTTTTCTTCAATATGTCTTAAACGTTTTGGTGTGTGAATATGTATTGTCCCATTTTTATAGATTTTGTGGTGGTCTTATCCTGGATGTCAAACGCAAGTTGCCATTTTTTGCCAGTGACTTCTATGATGCTTTGCATATTCAGTCTCTTTCTGCCATCTTATTCATTTACCTTGGCACTGTCACCAATGCCATAACCTTTGGAGGCTTGCTTGGTGATGCTACAGAAAATATGCAGGTATGTCCTTGTTAATTTATGGTTTGCTTTTATAGTAATTCACATCTATAACAGAATGTCATCTATTAGAAAAGATATAATGGAAACAGTTTGGTTTTCTTATCTGTATGTAGTTGCAACAATACAGCAACATACCACTTAGTCAGCAAATACCAATAATGATGATGCATACTAACTGTCCTTGACATTTATTTCTTATTTATTTATTTGTAAAGGGACAGCACATATTAATGAACTATTAATAAAATGTAAATATGTAAAGATTATAGCCAACGTGGCTAATTTCCATCTTCAGTCCCTCGGCAGGTTGATGTGAAATCATCAACGGGATGGGGAAAAGTACAGCAACAATCACACAGAAGTACATAACACCAGCATACTCACTATACATACAATTAATTTCAAACAGTTCATTTGAAGTTCGAAGTCAAGAGTTAAAGAGTTAATTAAACCAACAACCCCTCAATATAAAAAAAAAATTATATATAATTTGGTTAAACATGATGACATATTTGACCATTGAACAACCACTGTTTTAAAACTTTAAAAAATGCTGCCAGTCTTGAAAGCTCTCGTATATGAGCAGGCACTGTATTCCATGTTTGACCTGCAAAGCAAAAGAGAGCTGTCCAAAAGCACTTTTCCTAAACTGCACAAAGCGGTCACCTCTAGAGCCGGCTCTTGTTGTCCGGTTTGGATTTCTTTTCACAAACTGGAGTTGGAGATGTTGATTGGTTACAGCTGCTATTATCTACATGAAGACTTCTTTTAGAATAGGTTTCATGTACTGAATGGCCTTGTCCATTGAGAAAGGTGCACTCCTGGCCTCTGTGCTGGCTTAGAATGACATCTCAGAAAACCTGGAGTTCATTGGCCTTAAGGATTTACTAAGGCTGTAAATAACTGCAGATCCAGATTATGCAGTCACTGTCGCCTCGTCATGCTTATTTCCACTGACCTCCAACTCTTCCCCCAATACTTGCCAGTCACATTAGTTCAAAGCACTCTGTAAGGGAATTCCTATTGCTGTTTCTCATATGTGCCTCAAAGTGCCTTTGCCGTGCTTCATAAATCAGTTTCTCTAAAGTCAGGTCCTTCCAATCCAAGGCAAGTGTCCTCCTCAGCTCAAACACACAGCTAATGGAAGAGGCCTCAGAGACAGCGAGTAACAGCACACACATGCATCAAATGTTCATAACTGAAAATAAGGACATGGCTGTACTCCCCACATGATACCTGTGCCACCCTGTGCATTATGTAACGATATTTATTATTATTTAAAGGTTTTTTTTATATTGTATTGACTGCTTGATTTATAATTATTGTGACTTAATTGAATTAAATTTAAGTACTTTCAAAAGGTCCTTGCTGCCTTATAGTAAGGCAGTGAAGGATACACTTAAGTATCCTTGGCAAATTTGCCTCATGCTAACCAAACTGAGGACTCATAACTCTGGAGGACAGTAGGGATTGAAACACGACTTGGGCAGTGAGTGATGACCTGGATGCCTTACCAGACCCAGATCAGACCAAGCTAAAACACCTTGCATTTGAGAAATGGCCTCAGTCACTGTGTCCTCTGAAAATTAGGATGATAGACCCAATACGAAAATACTTTTTCACTTTACTGGATAAATGTGAATTACCTGTGTACTCCTAGAAATTGTTAAATAAGCTTTTCATGACACACCGTACCAGCAGTTTGATGTGTATAGTATAAACAGCCTCTGCAGAGTTTGCACAATTATGTCATTTATGTTTAGACACTTGTAAAGGCCATGCTTATTGTGAAATTGTGACAGTGTGAATCTTTTAACTACATGTTGTGTGTTGTGTGTTACAGGGTGTGCTGGAAAGTTTCCTGGGCACAGCACTGACAGGGGCAGTTTTCTGTCTTCTATCCGGACAGCCCCTCACCATTCTCAGCAGTACAGGCCCTGTGCTTGTATTTGAAAAACTCTTGTTTAACTTCAGTAGGTGAGTGTTAAAGCAAAAAAGAAGTTTACAGGTAAATGCAAATATGGTTTTAAACCACCCACACAGACACCTTCCTCTTTGGAAGCAACATGTTTCCCCATATATTGTTAAAAATAAAATGTGTAATTACCTGGTCAAATGTAGGCTATTGCATGATTTTACCCTACAAGCTCTTGCTGTGGTAATACTAGAAGAAAAACAAACACAATGCTGATTATGTTCCCTTATCAATAATTCACTCTCATTTGAGACTGAAGAATGTTTGTGCTGATGTGTGCTCTCTTTAGTTGCCCATGTTGTCTCAGACTGAGTCAGAATCAGCTGTGTAAATCTAGTATACGTATTTCCTGTTTCCTGTTATTGTAAATATTTGCCTTATTCTCCAATCCGTGTACAAATAAAAAGGCTTTCAGTTACAATCAAATTAAGATTTCATGTAATTTAGTCTCTGTTATATAGCACTCTAATTGCCTATTTGCTTTGTGGTTCTTCAGAGATAATGAGTTTGACTACCTGGAGTTTCGGCTGTGGATAGGCTTGTGGTCGGGTCTGTTTTGTCTGGTGCTGGTCGCCACAGATGCTAGTTTCCTGGTGCAGTACTTCACCCGTTTTACAGAGGAAGGCTTCTCTGCTCTCATCAGCTTCATCTTCATTTATGATGCATTCAAGAAGATGATCAAGCTGGCTCACCATAACCCTATTCACACTTACTATGATTCCAACCTTATCACTCAGTATGGCTGCCACTGTGTACCTGGTATGTTTATTCTTCACTTCACTATCCATGGGTTTCAGAATGATAAAAAGTTGAGACCGCTGACATAGCAATTAACAATTCAAAACTAACCACTATAACTGTTTTAATGGTCAAAAGTCCTCAAAACCGGGAACTGAAATCAGTGAATTAATAAGAAATGCTATCCTACATAAGCAGTTGCCTTGCCTTGTCACAAAAATATATGCAAAATATACATTTCACAAAATCCAGTGAATTTAACTATTGTGCTATTTTGGCCAGTACACAACAGAAGATAAACATTGATACTCACAGATTTCTGCTCCTGCTTTTCAATTGGCCTATTGACTTTTGAATCTCCTAGAATCAGACTGTTCAAAGAAGAAATGCTGACATACAACAAACAAAATCTGTAAAGAACTAGTCATAAAAATGTCCAGTGAACCGTGTAGCTCAAACTGTTTTTTTTTCCTTTACTAGGCAACAATTCAGAACTCCTTGATCTTGCTGCCTGGACAAACAGTACAGATCTGGTATGTAATCCTCTAACTCACAGTAGCTAAAATATTATTCACACAGCACATTTGTGATTCACTCAAAACACATTCCTGATTTTTCTAGCCAGTCAATGCCACCTGGGACTCTCTTACCAAAACACAATGTTTGAAGTATGGTGGTCAGCTAGTTGGTGAGACCTGTGACTATGTGCCTGACATCACACTCATGTCCTTCATCTTGTTCTTTGGGACCTACACCTGCTCTATGGGTCTGAAGAAGTTCAAGACAAGTCGTTTCTTCCCTACCAGAGTGAGTTGGACTAAGACATGGATGTCAATAAATAGCTGTTTATTTATGAAAAACAAATCTTAAAAGGGGAAAGACAAGTGGATGCAATACTGAAGGAAACTATTTGATGTAACTCTGGTTTTGTTTTTAGGTGAGGAAGCTTATCAGTGACTTTGCCATCATCTTGGCCATTCTTCTGTTCTGTGGCGTGGATGCCTTGATTGGAGTTGACACTCCAAAACTCATTGTGCCAAGTGAATTTAAGGTATCTAACAGAATTTTGTATGGGCTCCATTTTTCTTTTAGTCCAAAATTCCCTGTCTTATAAGTAAGACAAGGAACAGCCAGGTGTGCTGTCTTCTGATTACACTGAGACTGACAGTGATCCATGTTTCAGGAAGAAAGCCCCTGTAATTCCTTCAAAATACCTCCCAAATACTCCCTTTGTAGTTTTCAGTCAGCAGTACCTCTTACCTGAAATGAAAACAGTCAATTCTTTGAGCCTGCTCTGCTCAAATTTTTCTCATCAGTTTAGGGCCACCCTCAGATGCTGAGGACAGGAATGTGCATCAAGTAACAGCTTGATTTCAGGTGATGTGAGAGCATAGCAGCAGATATAGAGAATGCTTTGTGGTTGTTTGTTTTCATGTGAAAAGCAGGGCATTGAAGAGATGGAGAGATGAAGTGTTATCAACTGTATTCCTTTGTAAATTAATTTCACTAATTTCACTCTGTTTTCTTTGTTTTCAGCCTACAAGTCCAAAGAGAGGGTGGTTTGTTGCTCCTTTTGGAGGAAACCCTTGGTGGGTGTATTTGGCAGCTGCATTGCCTGCTTTGCTGGTCACCATTCTTATCTTCATGGACCAACAAATTACAGCTGTGATTGTCAACAGAAAAGAACACAAACTAAAGGTTGATACACACAAACAGCCACTTACTTTAAATTATATATGATTTTCAACTTTGCTTTTTTTTCCAGAAAGGAGCAGGTTATCACTTAGACCTGTTCTGGGTGGCAATCCTCATCATTGTGTGCTCATTCATGGGTTTGCCCTGGTACGTGGCTGCTACTGTCATCTCGATTGCCCACATCGACTCTTTGAAAATGGAAACGGAGACGTCAGCTCCTGGAGAGGCGCCAAAGTTCCTGGGTGTCAGGTGAACTTGCGCTATGATAGATAGATGTGGTAGATTATAATAAATTTCTCATAGATCATTCAGTTACATATCTTGTGTATAATCTTTGGTGACCATAAATGGTGCAAAAGGTAAAATATGCACAACAGGCTTTATGAAAGTTAAACTACTTAATGACTGCATTCAAATCACATTTGGTTAAATGTGTTCTTGTTTTCCAGGGAGCAAAGGGTTACTGGCATCTTTGTCTTCCTTCTCACTGGACTGTCAGTTTTCATGGCTCCCATTCTGAAGGTACAATTTTAAAAATTGCTGAAAGAAAAAATGATTGAATCACTGTCATTCTTTGGTAAAACTACTATATTGGTGAAGTTTCTTATTTTACATCAAAGACAAATCTTTTTTTCTTCATCCAATTATGAACTACCAAAGAAGTAATGTGAGCTCAACTACTCTTAGATTTTAAGCTCTTGTTACCTCTAAGCTGGTGCCTTTTTAGGCTGCTGCTGAACAAAGTGTGACATACCTGGAAACCATTGTGTGTGACGTGCCTCCTGGTGCACAATTGGCGTATTACAGCACTTATTTAGTTTTTTTCTTTTTCTTTTTCAGTTTATCCCAATGCCTGTGCTCTATGGTGTGTTTCTGTACATGGGTGTAGCCTCTCTCAATGGAGTCCAAGTGAGTTTCCAAAACAGTTCACGATGACAAGGCTCTCATTGCGGTTGGTTTCTGTCTTGAATTGATGAATTTATATATTTGTTTTTTTTTTCAGTTCATGGATCGGTTGCAACTCCTTCTCATGCCAGCCAAACATCAACCCGATCTGATCTACTTGCGTCATGTACCACAGAGAAGGATACACCTCTTCACATTCATCCAGGCACTTTGCCTAGCTCTGCTTTGGGTACTCAAGTCAACTGTGGCTGCCATTATATTCCCTGTCATGGTAATAATTGATCCTTAATTATCAAAAGTCTTTTTGAAAATGTACTTTTTATTATTAAGTATTTACATTTCCACAGATCCTTGCATTAGTTGCAGTGCGTAAGGCCATGGACTACATCTTCTCTCAACATGATCTCAGTTACCTTGATGATGTAATACCAGAAAAGGATAAAAAAAAGAAGGAAGATGAAAAGAAAAAGAAAAACAAGAAGAAGGGCAGCATAGATAGTGAAATTGATTATGTGAGTACTTCAGCAACAGGCTATTGCAGTGTTTGTAGTCGTGGAGTGTCCTGTAGACCCTGTGTTAATACTGTCCCTCCTCCCACAGTCTGACTATCCCTACCATGAAAATGTCCCCAGTATTAAAATATCCATGGACATGTTGGAGCAGGAGCCCATGTTGAAGAATAAATCTGTGGATAGTGAGTATTAGTATGCCCTAGACTTGTGTTTTGCTTTGAATTTCTGCACAATGATGACAAACCTTTGTTTTCCTGTAGGGTTGCCAGAGCATATTAACATTAACAATTAGTCTGTTAATATGGTGTATTTAGTTCAATGCTGTGCATGGTCTTGCAATTTTATTTGATATTCACCAGATTTTTTGCCTTCGTAATGTTTTTATTTTATTTTAGATGTAATATTTAAATATAATTAATCTCTCCTAGGAGATGAGTCGCAGATTTTCATTGCCCCTCATTCGGCGTGCTGAACACTACTTTGAGTCTTCCACAGTGGCCGAGTAAGTGAGTACCAACTTGAGTTTTCCTTGACATATTCAGTTTCTTCATGTGAAGTTTGGATTTCTGCTAATGTTTTTCTTTTTTTACTTTTACTTTTTTTTTCATTCAAGTCTTGACAGGGGTTCGTATACCAAAGGTTCACCTCAGATTCGAATACACTGTGACTCCATGGAAAATGTATTTTTGGGGAAGAAGGGCTCTGAAATTGATCTGTGAATGAATCCATGGGCAATACTTTGTTTGGAAGTATATATTTTATTTATTTTCTTTTACTAAATGCTAATTTTTATCATATTTATTGTGATTCAAAACCATTTGAATGTAAGATGTTGAATCTAGTTGGTTGAATGCCTATAAACAATGTTGGTACAATTTAAAATCAAACTATTTTATGACAAATGTGATTTTTATTCAGAATGACTTCCTTGTAAAGCATGTTACCTCTTCAGGAAAGGAAATGTTTTGTAACTGTTAAGGAAATGTTCTGACTCTACATTTCTACTTGCACAATGACCAGTCGGACCAGCTTCTTTCTATGGCAAAGCTTCTGAAGGCATTGTCTTTTTCATTTTGAGTTGAACAAAGGGGATGATGCAACTCCAAATATAAGCCCTAAAATATTGTCCTTTAGAAAAAGTTATGAGGAATGGCTGTATGTTATTCATATATTTTGCAACCTTTACACCCTGATCTGATTCCCTTTTAAAACGTGATTCTTTACTTGTGTTTAGAACAGAACAAATCAAAAGTTTGATTGTTTTCAAGACCCTTTTCTTTATTCACTACATTAATTAATGTTGCATTTTCTGATATGAAAGGCTTTGCCTTTCTCTATAGATGACAGCAAATATTTTATAATATGTTGTAATGTTTGGCCTCGCCTCATTTTTAAACTTTAATGTATATTGTAATCAGATATGTAGTTTTGTTTCCAAATAGAATATTTAGAAATTATATTTTGATACATAAAAATTGAACAAATATTTTTATCTGTTTTATTGTTACAATCTATGCAATAAATCACATGTACACGCTGAACTGTATGTGACCAGAAATATTAAAAGAAGGATTTACTGCAGTATATTTATGAATGCAAATGTGCATTCATTTTCCATTACTATGATAATATTACATGATATTCTTAGACTGTAGTGTGCTGAAGAGTTCATAAAGTGGACTTTTTGTTAGGGATATTGGCCTCTTTTGGTTCTCCAATAAATCAGAACGGACAATGAGTGTAATATGACATTTTTATTAGTAATTGGAAACTTACTTATTATCATCTTGGAATGTAATACATCTCTTGATGTTGACCTCTTGTGATATGATTAATGTGTTCATTGTCCATCAATGCAAATCTGTGTTTAGGCTGCACAGTATTTTTCTGTGAACCTTTCTTAACAACTGATTAGATAATGAGTGTGATATTTTTGATGTTCAAATCATTTTGTACAAGACATAAGCATCTTTGAAGCAGATGACCTTTTTTATTGATCCATTTTTGAAATCAATAAAACACAATATGATTCTTAAGGACACTGGTATGTGTGCTACTTAAATCTATTTCAGTGATTATTTAATGCTTTAACTTAAAGGCCCATATCGCACTATTTTCTGATGTATGTAATATTGTTTCCTCATCCAAAGCATACCCAGAGTTGTGTTTTTCATTTACACACGTTTAATATACAAACCCTGCATATTTAGGCTGAATTCTTTTCTCAGAAGAAAACGCTCCATACACCTTTACAAAGATAATTTGGATAATTTCAGCCCTGGAACTGACCATTTATGCTAAACAACTGATAAAAGGTAGCTGTTATCTTGAAAACTACCACTACATGACATCACACAGTGGAACAGAGCATTTTGAGCTTTGGTTATGTACACAGACTAATAATGAAAATTTACTCAAGCATGTGTAAATGAAACGAAACACAACTCTGGGTATGTTTTTGTGTAAGTAACAACATTCTAACATGGCTATAAGCTCACAGGAGTCAGTTTTGCGTAATATAGGACCTTTAATGCGTCTTAATTGGTGGTCTTAAGTAGGAGCTAGAGCTGCATAGTTTCCCCTATCACAAGAAAAGGATCTGCTAAAATGGAAGTTAATTCAATCGTCACAGTTGCTCTTCATTGCCAAGACAGAAAGCACAGCATAATGATTATCATGTCTCCATTTGGCTGGACATCAGTGGTTTTCTCTGGCATTAACTCGTGGGGGTGTCATTTAGAATAAAAAGTGATGCGAATGTGTTTGCGATGGATTTTCATTGTACAAAGTCATATGTTCAGCTCTAGAGGGCAGTGTTGCTAAAGAACCCCCTATACTGACCCCTAGAATGAAACTTGAATACACTAAAAAACAGTCTACAAAAGAAACAATGAAAGGGAAAGTTGAGTAGTTTTACATAGCCTACGTCGGCCTATTATTATTATTATTACTATTATTATTATTATTATTACTGTAGCCTTTTTTATTTTAATAGTATATTACGGATAAGACAAAGCTCATAGCCTATTTTCAGTATCCACAACAGGCCTTCATTGCCTGACACAAATGAACAAGTTAATGTGTGATCATTAAAATAGACACACATTTGTAGGAATCATACAGCAGGTCATTGAACTGGACCCCTTTAATGCATATATTTTAGAAAGATGAAAAATCAGGGCAGTTTCTATAACAATTAACAAGTTAAAACAACATGTTTTATCTTTTGAATGGTGAAAAGTCTTCAAGAAGGCATTGTGCAAGACATTAAACGAATAGATCTGTTGTTATAGATTCTACTATCTAATGATGTAGTATTTGTAATTAAGAATAAATAAGATTTAGAATTGGTATCAGTAAAAGCAGTATTTGATTTGTACAGGTCAAGTTTCTTATTGCTTATTTATTTTATTTGTAAAGGGACAGCACATATTAATGAACATTTAAAATGTGACTACATAAAGATAGTAGCCTATGTGTCTAATTTCCATCTTCCATCCCTTGGCAGGTTGATGTCAAATAATCCACAGGACAGGGAAAAGCAACAATCACAGTATATGACACCAGCACACTCACTATACATACAATTCATTTCAGACAGGTCATTTGAAGTTCAAAGCTGAGAGTTAAACCAAAAACTCCTCAATATTAAAAAGAAAACAACTGTGTGTGTGTGTGTGTGTGTGTGTATAGATATATATATATACATATTTTGTTAAACATGGTGACATATTTGACCATTGAACTGCAGAAAATGCTGCCAGTGTTGAAAGCTCTCGTATATGAGGAGGCACTGAATACCATGTTTGTCTAAAAGTACTTCTCCTAAACTGCACAGAGCAGTCACCTCTAGAGCCTGCTCTTGTTGTGATTGATTTTATTTTATTCACTGTTCATTTGACATGTTGTTTAGTGATAGTTAAACAGTGTCAGATACTTAACTTCTTGGATCAGTTTCAGTTTTGTTTCAAGCACACGCACATCTGGATCTGTATCTGGGTTATGAAATAAAAAAATAAAAAAATAAATAATCAGGCCCCTAATGGTGGGTCCTGTACATTCAGTTTTAGATATCTTGTTTTGATATTGCGTGTGTGTGCGCGCATGTGTGTGTGTTTGTTGGTCATTTTATCATTGGCATTAATTGCTCATGTGTCTTAGTTAACAGTTCACAATGTGACAGAACAGAGGTTACATTATAGGACGTCATCTTATTGACACCCTTCACACCTCCTGCCATGTGTTGCTTCCAGGCTTTTGAAACGCCCAGTTAGCCTCATCTGCAGATTGAATGTCATTGCCTCTTTGTCATCTAGAGACTGAATCAGTGTGTGGTAGACAAACACACGGATCACAGGCAGGAGAGCACACAGCTGAGTGCTCCTTTTGACTTATTACCAGTGCGGACACAAAGGAGGGACTCAGGGATTCTGTCTTCAAAGGTAATGACAAGCAATTAACTGTATCTATTGTCAGTAATGATCAGTAATATAAAAAATATAGCTACTATTAATAACAGTGTGTTTTTCAATTTCTTTAGTTCAATTTAGTTTCAATTAATTTGGTTATTGATCAGTGTAATTGATGGGTATTACAACAGAGCAGATCAATGTTTTCTTTCTGACCAAAATCATATGATGCAATTAGACATGCAATATTGCTTTTTATTATTATTATTATTGTAAAAAACACATTAAAGTAAGATATGCTTTATTTATGCTTATTAATACATTTAATGAATACATAATGCAATAAAATAAAGTAAATACATTTAATAATACTGCATTTTTGTTGCACATGCATTAAATGCAGTAGTGTATAAAATATAACACACATTTCTATTATTGTTTCAGCCGTCAGTATGAGTGTAATCAACTATTCAATGGAAATCACAAATTTGTCCAGCAGTTTGTGGCTCCATGAAGACTCCTTGAGCTCCCAGAACAAAACCTTTGTAGACTTTTATCTCCACAAGGCCTCCATCGCTGCAGTTTTCACCATATCCTACCTCTTCATCTTCCTCATTTGTATGGTGGGGAATGGGATAGTGTGTTTCATAGTTCTCCGGAGTAGGAATATGCGCACTGTCACAAACCTCTTCATTCTCAACTTGGCCATCAGTGACCTATTGGTGGGCATTTTCTGCATGCCAACAACACTAGTGGACAATATTATCACAGGTGAAGATTCCCTTTCGCAAAATGAACCAGTCCACCAATTCAGAAGTAATAATTCTTGCTTCTATATTTCTTTAGGTTGGCCTTTTGGAAGTGTAGTGTGCAAACTAAGTGGAATGGTCCAAGGGATTTCAGTATCAGCATCTGTATTCACTCTGGTGGCCATTGCTGTTGATAGGTAAGTAATAACATAAGAAAAATCTGGAAGTGCAAAACTTCATGCTTACACAATCTCTAAAGATGTAAGTTGCATTTCTGTGTCTATAAAGAAACATTTTATATTCTTGTGTATTTTATGTGCTTATTTAGTATTGTTATATATGAAAAATATTTTTATTGTTATGTAATAATAAACTAGAAAGCAATGATTTATATATTTTATTAAACAAATCCAAAATAAATTTTACTATTTGTATGACAATGCCCATCATTAGTCAAATGAACCCTGCATTGGATGTGGGGTGAGTGTTTAAATAAAAAGGATCCAGACAAATTATCCCGTGATCCTAGGAAATTATCACGCAATCCTATAAAAAGTATCTTGTGATTCTATGAAAGTATCTCATAATTCTATGAAACTTTCTTGCTTTAAATGAATGATGAGGTAGAGAGTGAAGCAGAGAGCAACATAACCCCACCTCTGCTGTTTTCCAGGCAGTAGAAGTGGAGGATCACTCAGCTCACAATTCAGTTGATTCACTGTCCAGCCATCTTTCCTTGTTCTATCCTCAGACTGTATTTCTCTCTCGGTAAAGGCTCTAATGCTGCGGATCAGTCAGCTGTTTGTCCAAAAGAGGAATAGCTCCGCATATGCCTGACCTCCTCGCAGTGAGAGCATAGTGTGCCAAGTACCAGGTTAACAAGTAAAAAGCATAAGCGTAAAAAGCATATGCGTAAGCATAAAAAGCCGTTCTTGGAATCGCAGGATAATTTCTCAGGATTCTCTTTATTTAAACCCTCACCTCATAGTCCTTTAGGGGCTCCATATGAGTCAGTGTGAGCAACAGATCTAAAACGTTTGATTTAGTGGAGCAGATATTTATATTAAACAATACTTGAAAAGGGCCTGTATAAAATGTTGAAATGGAAAACATACTTGGCACAGTGAGTACCTTTATTACTCTTACCACTACAATATTTTATCAACAACTCATTTATTCCTATGTGTCTGTTCTTAGGTTCCGCTGCATTGTTTACCCTTTTAAACAGAAGCTGACCATTGCTACCTCTAAGATGATTATAGCTATTATCTGGGTCTTGGCAGTCTTCATCATGTGTCCCTCGGGGGTCATGCTGCAAGTCACTAAGGAGAAGAACTTCCTCATTGTTTTGGGCCATAACAACAGCACACGTCCTTTCTACTGGTGCAGAGAAAATTGGCCCAACCAGGAGATGAGAAAAATCTACACTACTGTGCTTTTTGCCAACATATATCTGGCTCCGCTCAGCCTTATTGTTATCATGTATGCTCGTATTGGTTTCATCCTCTTCAATACAGCCATACCACCGCTGAGAGGAAGCAGGATTGAAAATGAGAATGGCAGTGCAAAGAAGAAATCAAGCACAGACAGTCGTCACACTATAACAAGGAAGAAAAAGCGTGTAATTATGATGCTTTTGGTTGTGGCTCTCCTCTTTATCCTATCCTGGTTACCATTATGGACACTGATGATGCTGAGTGACTATGCCAGCCTGACTGAACACCAGTATCGAATTATAAACATCTATGTATATCCTTTTGCGCACTGGCTGGCCTTCTCCAACAGTAGCATCAACCCAATAATCTACGGTTTCTTCAATGAGAACTTTCGCAGAGGCTTCCAAGCGGCTTTCAAGTTCCAGTTGTGCACAGGGGACATGGAGAGGCAGAGGTCCAAATCCATCCGTATCCATAGGAATGCTGTGCTACCCCTGCAGCCTCCGACAGGCAACAAGTCCGAAACAGAAATGCATGACATGACAGCCATGTTTGGCAATGGGAATTGCCCATTTCAGAATAAAAAATGTTTGTCTGTGAAAAGTGTACAGACAAATCAGGATCTGATTATGGAGAATCTGGAAAAGGTGTCTCAGATTTAAGAATTGAAACAAGAAAAATAAAAAATGCACTGTAGCATAATGTGGCATGTACTTGTGAAATACTTGATCAGATGTTTAGTTGAGACAAAAAAATCTCAGTTTTACTATATGTCTAATATGTCTGTTTTCCAATATATTATTTGCTAGATGAAGAGGCATTTAAAGAATTGCATTAATACAGAGTTATGTTAAGGCCTTTCAATACAAGTCGAAGCATTTCAGTCAGAGCTGTATCTGCTAGGCTGTACAGAGAGACTTTCCCAGGCAAAGAGCATGTTGAGTGTCGTATTCTTGAAAATGCAGCACAATATACATATGTAATGAGATTGGGAAAATAAATCTGAAAACATTTATATGAGGAAGGGTGTCCTTTGCAAAATGCAGAGTTTTGTATTGTATGTGAAATGCTTTCTCTACAAATGAATAGAATGACTTATACATGTTTACAGTATTAATAACAATTAGCTTATAAACAGACTAACGTAGTGTCAAATGTAACATGACGATATGTGCCAACATTTCTCTTCTTGTCTTTTTTATACTCCTGCAGTGCTTTGTGTTTCCAGAGTTGTCAATGCTGTGGCAATATTTTTGCAGCCAGTATTACCTTTTGACCATTTATGCCATTCATATTTTCTTTTTTTTCTTTTTTTTTTTTTGGTTAAAGTTTGCCAGAGCAGTTTATTATTTCTTTGTGAATGTAATGAATGTAATGTGAATCCAGTGCTGTACTGACACTGTACTGATGTTTTGGAGTATTTTTTAAAATAAAGAATTTTTATGTAACATTTGCCTATTGCTGGTCATATGCTGAGAAACACTGAGAAACACTGGCAAAAGCAGCCTGTAGAGATAATATGTGTTCTACTTCCCACTTTTGTTTACAGCATGCTAACTTCTCCCAAAAATAACCTGTGAGTGATAGCATTATGTGAGCTTACAAATAATAATACAAGAATGCAAGAATAAAAGAATTCTGATGGCTTCCTATAGGCCCTTTAAAATGCTATTACTATCCATCCATCCATTTTCTTCCGCTTATCCGGGACCGGGTCGAGGAGGCAACAGTCTGAGCAGGGACTCCCAGACTTCCCTTTCCACACACACTTCCTCCAGCACTTCCGGGGGGACCCAGAGGCGTTCCCAGGCCAGCCGAGAGACATAGTCCCTCCAGCGTGTCCTTGGTCTTCCCCAGGGCCTCCTCCCAGTGGGACATGCCCAGAACACCTCCCGAGGGAGGCGTCCAGGAGGCATCCGGAACAGATGCCCGAGCCACCTCAAATGGCTCCTCTCAACGTGAAGGAGCAGCGGCTCTACTCCGAGCTCCTCCCGTGTGACTGAGCTCCTCACCCTATCTCTAAGGGAGCGCCCAGCCACCCTGCGGAGGAAACTCATTTCGAGCGCTTGTATCCGCGATCTCGTCCTTTCGGTCATTACCCAGAGCTCATGACCATAGGTGAGGGTGGGAACGTAGACTGACCGGTAAATCGAGAGCGTCGCCTTTCGACTCAACTCCCTCTTCACCACAACGGTCCGATACAGCGACTGCATCACTGCAGATGCTGCACCAATCCGCCTGTCAATCTCACGCTCCATCCTTCCCTCTCTCGTGAATAAAACCCCGAGATACTTGAACTCCTCCACTTGAGGCAGGGACTCTCCACCCACCCGGAGAGGGCAAGCCACCTTTTTCCGGTCGAGAACCATGGCCTCGGTTTTGGAGGAGCTGATATTCATCCCAGCCGCTTCACACTCGGCTGCAAACCGCCCCAGTGCACGTTGCAGGTCCTGGTTCGATGAAGCCAACAGAACAACATCATCTGCGAACAGCAGAGATGAGATCCTGTGGTCCCCAAACCGGACCCCCTCCGGCCCCTGACTGTGCCTAGAAATTCTGTCCATAAAAACAATGAACAGAACCGGTGACAAAGGGCAGACCTGGCGGAGTCCAACATGCACCGGGAACAGGTTTGACTTACTGCCAGTGATGAGAACACAGCTCCTGCTCCGGTCATACAGGGACCGGACAGCCCTTAGCAAAGGGCCCTGGACCCCATACTCCCAGAGCACCCTCCACAGGACACCACAAGGGACACGGTTGAATGCCTTCTCTAGATCCACAAAGCACATGTGGATTGGTTGGGCAAACTCCCATGAACCCTCGAGCACCCTATGGAGAGTGTAGAGCTGGTCCAGTGTTCCGCGGCCAGGATGAAAACCACACTGCTCCTCCTGAATCCGAGGTTCGACTATCTGACGGATTCTCCTCTCCAGTACCCTGGAATAGACCTTACCGAGGAGGCTGAGGAGTGTGATTCCCCTATAATTGGAACATACCCTCCGGTCCCCCTTCTTATACAGAGGGACTACCACCCCGGTTTGCCAGTCCAGAGGTACTGTCCCCGACTGCCATGCGATGCAGAGACGTGTCAACCAAGACAGCCCCACAACATCCAGAGACTTAAGGTACTCAGGATGGATCTCATCCACCCCCGGAGCCTTGCCACCAAGGAGCTTTCCAACCACCTCAGTAACTTCAGTCAGGGTGATGGACGAGTCCGCCTCTGGGTCCCCAGTCTCTGCTTCCTCCTCGGAAGACGTGACGGTGGGATTGAGGAGATCCTCAAAGTATTCCTTCCACCGTCCGACATCATCCCCAGTCGAGGTCAACAGCTCTCCCCCTGCACTGTAAACAGTGTTGGTGAAGAACTGCTTCCACCTCCTGAGGCGCCGGACGGTTTGCTAGAATCTCTTTGAGGCCATCCAATAGTCCTTCTCCATGGCCTCTCCGAACCCCTCCCAGCTCAGAGTTTTTGCTTCTGCGACCGCACGGGCGGCAGCATGCTTGGCCCGCCGGTACCCATCAGCTGCCTCAGGAGTCCCACGAGCCAACAAGGCCCGATAGGACTCCTTCTTCAGCTTGACGGCATCCCTTACTTCCGGCGTCCACCACCGGGTTCGGGGGTTGCCGCCGCGACAGGCACCACAGACCTTACGCCCACAGCTACGAGCAGCCGCATTGACAATGGAGGTGGAGAACAGAGCCCACTCGGACTCCATGTCCCCAACCTCTCCCGGGATCTGGGAGAAGCTCTCCCGGAGGTACGAGTTGAAAATCCTGCTGACAGAGGGTTCCACCAGATGTTCCCAACAGACCCTCACGATACAATTGGGTCTGCCAGGTCTTTCCGGCTTCCTCCTCCGCCAGCGAACCCAACTCACAACCAGGTATTGATCGGTTGACAGTTCTGCCCCTCTCTTCACCTGAGTGTCCAAGACACATGGCCGGAGATCAGATGACACGACTACAAAGTCAATCATCGACCTCCGGCCTAGGGTGTCCTGGTCCCACGTGCACTTATGGACACCCTTGTGCTCGAACATGGTGTTCGTTATGGACAAACTGTGACTAGCACAGAAGTCCAATAACAGAACACAGCTTGGGTTCAGATCAGGGAGGCCGTTCCTCCCAATCACCCCTCTCCAGGTGTCACTGGCATTGCCCACATGGGCGTTGAAGTCCCCCAGTAGAACAACGGCGTCCCCGGTTGGTGCACTGTCAAGTACCCCTCCCAGGGACTCCAAGAAGGCCGGGTACTCAGCACTGCTGTTCGGCCCATAGGCCGACACCAAAGTGAGAGACCTGTCCCCGACCCGAAGGCGCAGGGACGCGACTCTCTCGTTCACCGGGGTGAACCCCAACACGTGGCGGCTGAGCTGTGGGGCAATGAGCAAGCCCACACCAGCTCCCCGCTGCTCCCCGCAGGCAACACCAGAAAAATGGAGGGTCCAACCCCTCTCGAGAGGTTGGGTACCAGAGCCCAAGCTGTGCGTGGAGGTGAGCCCGACTATATCTAGCCGGTACCTCTCGACCTCCCGCACAAGCTCAGGGTCCTTCCCCCCCAGTGAGGTGACGTTCCACGTCCCTATAGCTAGTTTCTGTGTCCGTGGACTAGGTTGCCGAGGTCCCTGACGCCGACTGCTGCTTGTTCACTTTGCACCCGACCCCTATGAAACCCTCTTTGGGTGGTGAGCCCACAGGAGGGCGGGCCCACGTCGTCCATTCGGGCTGAGCCTGGCTGGGCCCCGTGGGCAAAGTCCCGGCCACCAGGCGCTCCAACCCCAGGCCTGGCTGAAGGGTGGGGCCCCGGCTGCGCCATACCGGGCGACGTCACGGTCCTTGCTTTTATACTATCCATAGGGGTTTATAAACTGCTCTTAGTCTGCCCCCGTCACCTAGGACCTGTTTGCAATGGGAGACCCTACCAGGGGCATAATGCCTCAGGCAACATAGCTCCTATCATTCGGGTACGCAAACTCCCCCACCACGATAAGGTGGCAGTTCAAGGGGGAATGCTATTACTAGAATGTTCAAATTCCATAATGGAGGTACAAGTGAATATAGTGATATAATACATTTTCAATGATTAACTGACAGCAGTTGCAAATAATAATATTTGTAAGTAATTTTAATTATAAAATAAACAACTAATTTGAATTTTCAGTGCATAAACACTGTGCATGTCTATTACAAAAGGTTTTCCAGCCTCACAAAAAGTATAATTTGTGGTGTAGAATGTTATGAAACTATAGACACAATGGAAACACAATTATAAGATCAACATTTCTGTAAACTCCTGTCCAGAAATATCAACAAATTAAGATTTTTAGACTTCAGACTTAGACTTAGACTTCGAATCTGCTAAATCTGTGTAATAATCTCCTTTTAGATAAACAAATAAGGTAAAATGCATTTGTAAATGCAAATTTAAAAGAGGCTCTGATAATACTCACATTGGCAAATAATAACCATTCAGATGGTTATTATTTGCCAAAATCACCCTACTTTTTAATACTTAATAAAATTATGTGGCCTATCACAAATTCTTCACTGAAATCAAATTGTGTTCCACTTCACTTTTTCCTCCAGTTACCTCTTTTTTTGTTTTTACATTTTAAACGCCTGGCTTGTAAGTTGTTACTTCTTTGGTAATCAAGGTTATAATAATAAGTAATAAATGCTTTGTGCATGTGCTGGGTTCACCCCTCTTATTATCCATGGTAAAATAAAATAAAATAAATAAATAAATGCAAATAAATACTTCTTCACATTGTTCTTTGCTTCATGTCATTCAGTATGTGTTTTCCGGGGACACAACACACAGTATATCCTTAATAAGAAGATTATAACTGAAGGTAGAATTACTGATTCATATCCACAAAGGTCTTTGAGTGTGGCAATACCAATAAGGACAAGAAGGGGCATATTTTTATGTATTTGCAAGCTTACACTCTCATTGACCATTTACCATTTACTGACTATGACCAATTTAGAGTACAGTGCACTTCCCAAAAGCATTTACTGGAACCATTATATGTCATTAAGAGATCATGTATTCAGTCAATAGTCACTGTGCTTTATAGGTCTTGCCGAACATGGCATTACACACTGAAAATATGGTGAAATACTATTTAATATAATAATATTATAATAATATTGGCCATGGGCATTTTCCATGGCAAATGTGTAATGTTGAATTGCCCCCAATCCCCTCAGCCTGAAAAACCCACACATGTTCAGGTTAATATTTTTCAAAGCTCTCAAACTGTTGAAGAATGAAAACTGCAATATATTTACAGTGTTGGGAAGTAACTGAATACATGTACCGAGAATACATATTCACTAACACTAATTTTGAGTAACTGTATTCCAGTACAATTAATTTTTCATTTGGTGGTATCCAGAATACACTTTTCTAAAATCACCGGAATACACAGCAGTACCTGATCACTCAATTTAGCCCCCAAACTGCACAGAATTAGTGAGAAAAATATAAAGCACTGCTACTGCAGTGCGTGCAAGTGTTGATTTTTTTCTTCTTGGATCATTGATAAATAAATGCATAACAAACAGTGAAACTAATATAAAGCTGTTTTTCATCCTATGTTGTATATTTACACTATAATTTATATGCAACTGTACGTGAAAGTATTCTAAGTATTCAGAATACAGTACTCTGATTGGACCATGTATCCGAATACATAACAAAATATATTTTAATGCAGGTATTGAGTATTCTGTAACTAAATACATTTTCAAAGTGTTCTTCCCATCACTGTCTTTTTACTCTGCAATTATACTTATTCTTAACTTGAGATGTTTTTCAATTGCACATTACAAGGTATAAATTTAATGTTAAAACCAATTCATGATGACAGACAACAGGTGGCATTTAGTGATGTGAAAATGCATAAAAGAATTGTTCATTATTGATAATATTTTCTGTAACCTATTAGTTCACAGAGTGCACGGAGATAAAATATGAAACACAACCTTTTGTTTCTTGTGATTAACAAATTCTTTGATGAATGGGTACTCAGGGGAAATATGAAAATGGACAGTCTTCTCTCAGCAGATTAAAGCTCCTTGCAGAATGACTAATCTCCTAAAGCCATTAGCATTACCTCCTATGTGTCCACCCCATTAGTGTCAGTTTATATGAGATTTTAATCAACAAGGTACAATAACCACTTTGTCCCTGAAGGAAGGGAGAGGAAATGACCAAGTCTCAGCTTTGTTTTATTTGTCAAACATGTCATATTGGACTACAAAACAAACAAATCAATAGCAATAAAGACTAATGGCTTCTTGATTTTAGACAGTCGTCATTTTAATAATTTAATTTAAATATCTTTCGACAGCCCCGTCAGAAAGATTACAATGATGTAATCTGGATGTTTGATTCACTGAAAGTGTCTAATTAGTAAGTCAATGAACTGACGTACAGACCATGTGCGGGACTGTGGGCAGACTGGCTGTGATCCTCTCCAGATGGTCTCTGTCAAATGTGACGCTTAAAGAAGTGAATGAACCTTAAGCATCGTCTATAATGTAAAGGAAAGTAACAAAGCAACCATTAAATATTTATAAGGAATTTATGTTTAATTCTATTAACATAAACATATATTTAAAAAAAAAAAAAAAAAAAAAAAAAAAAACGGCAAACGACGGCATATTTCTCTTTTAAGATGTAGGGCTTACGTTAACAATTACTTTGAACAGTTAAGCATTCAAACACAGACCTGTAAAGAGCGCCATCTGGTGGGCAGAAAATATAAAGACACCTTACACCAAATAAGTGGTCGCAAAAGAGCAGTTTTTAATGTGTGTTTTGATACCGATGTTTATTTTTCAAACATTTGCGTAAATGAAAAGCATTTCATCCTTATAGGACACAAACTGTACATTGGCCAATGGGAATAGCCTATATGTGGGACAAATGATCCAAATTTCCAAGTTGAAGACCCTTGAGTATGTACACAAATGTTATCTGCAAACAAATAGAAAGTACTTCTTCAAGTCCTTTTCCCCCAAAAACTTTTTTTCAGGAAATATAAAGTACCACAACAGGGTTTGTTGTGTTACACTTTTTCATGTGCTTGCTGAGATTCTCTGGAGAGTGGGAGCCACTTATATGACTGTTATTATACTGTAGGCTATCATGCTCCAAACATATGAAGTCATTTTATACAATCAAAGATATATACTGAAAACAGTCAGTAAAACCAGTTAAGACATAAACTATCACAGGGACTAAGGCATACAGATGTAATGTGAAGTTATTGAAATAGCTACATGAATGGAAATCCACAATGTGCAAAAAGACAAGTTGGAGAGAAAGCACTGGTCCAGGTTGGCCTGTAAAGAGTAACTCACTTAACCAGAAATCTTGCACTGGGGATAGGCTACGGTAAGATATTTAGCAGCTTCATTTACTGTTGGATGCATACTACATATTACTGTGGCAAGTTTATGTGACACAACAATACTGCAGTGAAAACTCCACTTTATTCCCTTATTACTGTAATTGCATTACCTGCAACAATTGGATAATATACCTTATTTAATAAGCTATTAAGATGATTTTAAATAATTTTGTGTGAAATACACAGGGCGGAACATGTCAAACAGAGGTTAGATCTGCTATTCCCCTTTAGATACATTTGTGTGGAAATGCAGTCAGTCAAGTGAGGATAGTGACTCCTACAATCTATTTCTTTGATTATTCCATATTGGTTCAACTGTACAGAGGACCAACATTTCTTTGTGAGTTACTCCTCAAAGAGCCTTTCAAAAAATGTTTGGGAAACCAAATAAGAATATACAGCAGAGGACAGGCATTCTGTATCTAAAAGTATAAAAAGGACATAATTATGCTTCAGCCTTCATCTTTTGTGGTGACCTCTGTATCTTCACTGTTGACATCACTGTGGAACATCTGGGACAGTGTTGTTTGTTTTTTCTCCTCCTTTTTCTCCTTCTTTAGTGGATCTAATAATGATTTCACTAGTATGAAAAAAGAATTAGAAAGCTTTTTAATTCTTGTTTTTGTGTGAATGTGAGTTGGTGTTTTCACCTGCTACAGGGACGAAGTGGTCTTCTTGCTGGCCACTATTGTTGCTTTGGCTGGTGCTCACTATGTCTTTTTGTTCTTCATCTGTCACAATTCTCTGCCTTGCACTCTCAAACACAGACTTAATGACGATTGAGTCTTCATATATCTGCAATGAAGAAATGCAGAGGTTAACAAACTGTTGAAAATTAAATCAAAGAATATGTTAGAAAGACAAGTCAAGCAAGGCAAGGATACACAAGATTCACCTGAGATCCCTCCAAGTTGTATGTCTGAGCATTTTGGCAAAGCTGATGAATGTCTTTTTCCAAATCACCCACACATCTGTATTTGTGGTTACGCACTCTCTCCTGGCAAAGATGCACACAAAAATGATTTTGCATTGAAAACACAATCACAGTAGAGAAAAGATAGTAATTTGTTTTAGTAAACGTTTTAAGTAAAATAACCATAACTTTAATATTTTTATATAATATTGTTTTTGTTTTAACTTCACATTTTCTAATTATTTTATCCTCCAGAATAAGACCTGCTCTGAAAACATTTTGAACATGGACAGCAGTGGCTCTGCTGTATTCCTCTAGCCTGAAGTCTGCAGTTGCTTGCCTACTGTGGTATGTGACTGTGACTGGTGGTTGGGGGATCGATGCTGCAGATTGGCAATCTTGATTCTCTCAGTCTTACTCAGGGCTGTTTACCACCACTGGGTATGGGGAGTGAATGAATAATGCGTAATTGTAAAGCATCTGGAAAACACTATATAAGACTATTGCAGTACAGTAAATATATGTGGATATAACTTATATATAACTGTTTCATTTCACTTTAAACAAGTCCATAAAATGGCACCTACCCTGATCCTTCTGAAATCCACAGGTTTTCGTATCAGCTCATAGTACTCTGGTACCTCTTTCCTGGAGGGAAGCTGCACAAAGCCTTTGCTTATCTGTCGGCCATACCTGACAAGATTTAATAGTTTTGAAGAAATACTTTACCACAAAAAATGCTTCTGCAGTAGATTGTGTTCATTAAAGACAAAGAAGAGGTCCAACTGTGGTGGGAAATATTGACTCTATTCTAGAGACACCGTAATATAAAAACATCCAAACCTACCCATCCTTGTAGTTGATGACCATGTCCACCAGTGTGTTGAGGAGTCTGGTGAGCTCTGGTGGATTTGGGGGCAGTTTCTCCACTGGTGGACGTCCTCGCTTCCTTTTGACTTTTTCACCCAGCTCTGGTGTGGTCTGGACTTCTTGCTCTTTTGTTTCAGGTTGATCACTTTTGCGTTTCTTTAGACTGATGTCCTCCTCCATCTCCTCCAGGGAACCGTTTGCTGCTTTTTGATGCTGCAATAACAGAGCAACATGTGTTGACATTATTAGTAAGTATAAAGGCATGATGTTTTCTCCATTTTAGCTTCAGCTGGAATGCATGAGCGCCATGTAATAAGAGATATAAAATAAAATGTTACGCAACGATATAAGATGTGCATAGTGTCCACTGGGTGCACAAATAGCTAATTTATAGCCTAAATAAAATAAATAAGAAGGATATGAGGGGATATTTACGTTTTAAAATTTTACATTAATGTATCTTTATTTCATTCTGTATTCTGAATGCTTATTAACACAAAGAAAAGCCTTATAAGAAAACAAAAATATGTATATAGTTTTTCCTATATTGCCCACCCTATATTAAAACAGTTGCCTATATCTTTAAGATCGAAAAAAATATGCAGCTTTGTTTGCAATATATTGTTTAAAATATCCCTTTTGTATTCACATAGATCCTTGTATTCCTGCAAAGCAGAACAAGGATAAGGGCTAAACATGAGTATTTAGCAGTGGCAGCTCCAGTTGCAGAAAAACAACTGGTCACGCAGAATAAAGAGAATAGCCTCGGCGGAGTCAAATGTATTAGCTCGGTGTTCACACAATGCTGATGCGTGAATGAATGAAAGATTCATGTAAAGCTCAGACATCGCGCTGTTGTTAATAGGCCTACACAACAGACCAGATTATATAATTAACATGTCAAAAATGGCTGATCTGAATATTAGAGCCAAAAGAACAGGTTCAATACCCTATGCATCTGAAACAACCCAGGTAACAACAAAACTAGACAGGCAACAAAAGAGATATTCTCGTCATTATCACACGGTTCAAATGTTGGCTTTAAAAGCCCCGCTTCTCTGGGTGCTGCAGTCGTTCCCGCAGAATACAGGAGGGATAGAGGCTAATCCTCCAAGATGTTTGACACTCACACACAGCTGACGACAGCCCGTTGCGCTGTACATGTGCTTTGGCGGGCTGCATGCGCTGCCTCCATGCCTGCGCTCTGTCTCCTAACGAGCCTGGCTCTTCCCTCAGTGACTAATCTGGAAAAGATTCTCCTCTCATCTGTTACTGCCACACACCTACTCAGTCTCTCTCCCGACTCTCGCGCCCCCCTATGCTAACGCACGCACGGACACACGCGCACACATTTATCCTCCTCTTTCCTCTTTCCTCGACGGCGTGGAGCCCGGCGGAATCCTGTGGAGGTGTGAGGAGAAAGTCATGGAGCATATTTACCTGAGTGCTGCGCGCGGGCTGGCTATCGCGATCAGCTGCAGTGGTGGGGGAGAGAATTAGCAAACCAGCATAGCGGCGAGCTGCTAGTCTCTTCATCAGCTGATCACTCCGAAGCACACAGCCCAGAAGGGGGAGATTATGTTTTCATACACAAATCAATGGGTTGGAGAAAATACTAATAGGATACTTTACGCACGCGGCTCATCACCTATGCGATCTGTGGTTATAGGTTCTGAAGGGCCCCATAACCCCACGCATCTTAAGAAGAAAGGCAAGCTGTCTTCTTTACTCACAATGTAAACTTGTCAGGGCTATTGTTCTTGGGAGTATTCTTATTTTGTAATAAGGCTTGGATACCCAGTGTCTTGATTAGTCCAGGATTAAACTAAAAAGGTGAATCTGATGAAGAGAGAAAAAACAAAACAAAAAACAACCAAACTTATATGTTACTCACAGCATGTCAATTAATTCTTTACATCAGCTGTCTTCTGACTTGCCAGTTTCAGTCTAGGAAGGCATAATTTAATAACAACTGATTAAATTGTTATAGGCTCCAATGGACTGCATCAAATTGAAAGTTCTTATAGGATCTGTTCTGCTGTTTTTGATGCAGCAAATTAAACAGTTATTTTTTTTTTTATCTTAACCCAAGTGTATGTTCCCTTTGGTGTCATTCTTTTACATAGACCTATAGCCTACTGAGTCACTACACACAAAGCAGCATAAACATGCACATACAACCTGTGTTTTCATAACATGATACATATTAGGCCCACGTGGTCAGTCAAGGACCATGTGCAATTTCTCAAATGGGCTCTGTGATAGATGGGTAAATACTTGATTGATCCTGAAGCAAATTCAATACTTCCACTGTTAAATTAGTAGGCAACACAACACAAAACAAAATGTGATGTTTAACAAAATGTTTTTATTATTATTATTATTATTATTATTATTATTATTATTGTTCTTTGACCATAAAACCACAATGGATAGATCAGTGAGAAAAAATAAAAATATCAGGCACTCACTTATTGAATGGATAAATCAGGTTTAGAGTTTTACAAATTTCCGAATGAATACAGATAAAACTCATATTGTAACGTAAAATTTTTTTTCTATCACTTTAAAACTAATGCCAACATTTTTGTACAGTTTCAAAACTTGCCAGTTAAGTGAGCAAACACAGTTCATTGGCATGACATATCAATTTTTCAACCTTACACTCATCTCAATATCAAAACACATGCCTAACACACTGATAGTCTTTACCCAGCTTGCCACTGTACACTCTCTTTTTATGTTTCAACATCAGACTCACCAAAACCCTACAATTTTATCAAAGACTGGCCAAAGACATAGGGGGCACAACATAACACAGGAATCACAATATGGAGGGATGCTCTAGTTAGGCTAGAAGTACTAGAAAGTGTTACAAAAATGTGAATAGGTTTGCAAATTGTACAAAAGATAATTTCAGAAAATGTGCCAAAATGAAAAAAACTATAATAACATAGAGCCTTCAGGTGTCATGTACATCTCCATTCAAATACCTATTTTCTTCTGCCTGGGGATGAAGGTGGGGTGGGATCAACAGATGTCTGTTAAAACAAACACACATTTAGGGTTAAAATATTCGTAAAGTTAAAAGCAGATGAAAGACACAACATACCCCAGTGTTTCCTTTGGAGAAATTAGCGTGCGCATAAAGAAGCATTGCTATCTCTTTATGACCTCCCTCTAATGCAATAGACAAGGCAGTGCTTTCATCCTAAAAAGACATATTTTTAAATTATTAGTAAAAAAACAAACAAAAACACAAAAAAAACAGTGTGACATAGCATAGCCTAGTTGGGCAGATGTGGAGCTTGGCTGTGCCAGGCATTTTAAGAGATAGATAATACTGTATTTATCCTGAAGGAAATTCATTTTTGTCAGGCAGCAGAAAGATAATAATAAAATATAATAATAATAACATCAGTAGTTCAATTTATAGAGATTACTATAATTACAAAATAAACATGTAACGTAAATGGTTAAAGTAGCTCCTTTTGTCAGAATGCTAACTACTCTTAGTATCAGAATTTGCATACACTGTCTGTAAGGGTAGCATCACAGTTGGGTTGCTGCAGCAGAAATTTCACTATTTCTTTATGGCCGTGTTCACTGGCACACATCAGTGCTGTGGAGCCCTCATCATCCTGCAGGTTGACCTCTGCCCCCTGCTCCAGTAACGCTTGCACCATTTCCAAATTCCCATGGCTCACCGCGAGCATCAGCGCTGTTTGCCCGGCCTGCACGAGAGTGAGAGGAAAGACAAGACACACTGGCATATTGTACAATGTTATTCAGAAAAACATCTGAAAGGCTCCAAAAGTGACTCATACCTGACTGGCCTTAGCATTGACATCTCCTTTAGAGAAAAGCTCCTTCACAATACTCATGTGCTCAGGAGAGGACACCTGTGCAAGTGCTGCCAGCATTATGGGAGTGTAACCTGCTTTATTCTGCTGATTTACATTACACACATCTGTTGGAACAGAACGGGTAGTTGGTCAGCCATAGTATTCCAACACAAAAGACATCTTGGTATTTCTCATGTCTCTGCTAAGGATTATCCCATCTTTGCTGCCCCCTAATGGTCATGCAGCTTGTGTACAGCAATTTTAAGTCAATGTACTACTTTTACCTGTTTTAAGTAATTTCTTGACAACCCCAAAGTTGGAGTATGACACACAGTAGTGCAGAGCTGTGTTTCCATTGCTGTCAGCCATATTGACCACATACTGCAGCACCAAGGGTGAAAAATCTTGAAAAGCAGAGAGGTAAATCTCTACTGCATGAGGGGCAGCAGACTTCTGGCTGGATATGTTAAACCATTCTTGTTTAAGCGTTTGAATAGCGTCTTTCTACCATGGATAAAAAAACAAATTATCAGTTTAAGATATCATAATAGTTACTAAGTAGATGCCTTGGTGTAAGTAGTTTTCACAGCCTTTTTTATACATATGAACATATTCTTGATGACACCCTGTCTGTGCCACACGCCACACCCAGCAAATGGCATGCCATTAAACATAGTGCATGTACAATGTCACATACCACTACAAATCATTCTGTTTAAATCAGAAAGAATTGTAAAAGAGTGAAAATAACTTACAAAATCCATAGTTCTTTTCTCTGTACCATCAGATAGGTGTATCTTTAGGTTTTGGCAGGCAGACAGCATTTTTTCACTTAATTTAAACCTACAACTAAAATAAAACAATGTTTAGACTTGGAGACTGTAGTACATACTTAAAATGCGCCTCTGTACCTTTCTTGTAAAGATGATTTAGCTGATCCTTTTGGCCGTTTGCTCGACAAATGTTTGTTGTATTTTTTTTCCTTTGATCCTTCATTATTGGTCTTAATAATTGCAGCTTTGTTTGCGTGTACTGTAGCTGTCCCAGTGTCACTGGTAATATTTGGTGAAAGTGGCTCCAATCTGAATACATTTTCAGAGTTGACATACATGCAAAAATCATGTTTGTATATTCAAGTCTTACCCTGTGGTCACCCCCATTAGCCGCATGTTCTTTCTGGAGGTACTGCAACTTTGGTCACTGTTCTTCTTCTTACATACAGACCATGGGTTAGTGCCTTGCATTGCCTTGTCTGGAAGTAAAGGCAAGCAAGCTAAAATTAATATGAAGATGTTTTAGCACAAAAAAATGATATCCATCCATTACAGACATAGTATAAGGAAACCTAACGTCTGCAAAGCTATATTCAGTTTTGGTCTGACTACCACAAACTGTTCTGTGGTTGCAAAACCAAATCTCATTCCAAAGATTTCAAGTGCATCCCTCCAAAGTAAAATCAGCCAAACCAATGGTCAGCCACTTCCCCTGAACCCACCCAGAATTTAAACTGGCCTTTGGGAGTGGTCAAGGAAGAACAAACCTCAACCTCTATTTACAGTTCAAATAACTTGGGAAACTCAGTTTTAAATTTAAAATGTATGTTTACCTTGCAGAGTCGATGATGTCTGCTGCTCTAACATTTGTATCATTCTTTTCACCTCATTTGGTTTAGCACCGGTGAAAGTGTCATCATCTGCACCCATCACTTGGAATTCTTTGTGTGTTGTCTCTAAAAAACACATTTTGAATTAATTTTACTATTTCAAAAACATATAATATATTTTGCTAGTATAAAATGTCAACCTGATGTATCCGAAGCAGTCCCGTCATTCCTCTCTTGAATGATTTTGCAGAGCTGGGTGGGGCTGGCATTCCTCTGGCTAGATTTATGTTGGTTTGAAATACACGTCTTCTCTTCTTTGAGCAAGTCTTTGTGCTCTGTGAGAAATCGCTGCATCGCTTCAATATAGTAATTCAGTTCAGTATCTTTTAATGATTGATTTGCCATGATTTCTCTGCTTTCTTTGGGTGGGGAATCCAATATCTTTCCCTCTCCAACACCAATGCTCCTTGTTTTTAAAGGATCAGGTAAATGTGATGGTCCAGATGCCATATTCCGGGTTTTTATTCCAATCAGAAAATTCTCATTAATATTTATAAAGCCCACACTAGCATCTCGTGTTACCTTGCCGACTAAGTTTGGCTGCAATGTTTCACTGTCAAAAACATGAGTGGTGCCCACACCGATTGTGCGAGTCTGCAGAGGAGCCTGGATGTCTTGGACCCTGCTTCCCACAGATACTGTCCTTGTGACCGTTGTGGGAGTATTTGTATGCTTGTCCTGGCTTTTGATTACAGTGTTAGTGATTGAGTCTGTGTTGAATGCTTGTTTGGTGTTTGTAAAGCGGGATACTAAATTGCGCACTGTGTTAGTATGTTGAGAAGCTGTCTCAGCAGAAGCCATGACACCCTGATCAATGCAATGATCTCTAGAAAAATTCACATTAACTGAAGATACCCCGCTGTCCGACCAATGTTTGTCTGTGTTGGTTCCTGTATCACAAAGATTTATGCATGTTCCAACTCCTTGTGATGTTGCCAAAATCTGGAACCCTGTGTTCTTATCTGCTGTGTCAACCATTTCTCTAGCTACCCACTGAACGGTTGGTCCAGAACGTACATTTTGCAGAATCATCCTGCAACACGATATTCCCACACTTTTCATCTCTGTCACTTCCCCTGTGCTAGCGTCACAAACTGTCACGTGATTCCCCACTGCTTGGCTTTTTGTGGATGGTCTGGCCTCTATACTTGTGTTCACCGTAGATGGTGAAGCACTGGAAGCTTTGTTCATTTTCTTATTATTTCTTTCTTCTGCTGCTTGGAGTTCTAATTTTAATCGGTTCATCTCTATTTGAAGAGTGGATTCTTTGAGCTCTGCTTCCAAATAACCAATTCTATCTTTTAAAGAATAAATAATTTCTTGTTGAGCTAAAATCTCATCATCTCTCTGTGAGTTAATTCCAAGGTTGTTTTCAGTAACATCAATTGCAATAGACCTCATCTGTTTTTCACTGCTTTGACAATGATGCTCACAACATACAAAATCCCTTTCTTTATCAGTACCAGTTGCTACAGACCTTGTAATTTTGTCACATAAATATGAATTTCTTTGCCATGCATGCAAAAGATCAGGCTTGTATTGTTGCTCCACTGACTGTACCTTTTCAGGTAGTTCCTTAGACTCTCCTAATTGAATGTTCTTCTTTTGGACTGAGTCATCAACATATTGCATTGAAATGTCAAACCTTTCTTGACTATTGGCCATTTTCCAGGCAGGATTGGTATCTTCATCTTTGTGTTTCTTGAGCTCATATAAAAGTTGCCTCTTATCTTCTTGAAGAATTGAAATCTTCAATTCTAAAACAGGGATGAGTTTGACCTGTTCTTCCAGCTCCTTCAGCTTCTGTAATGCTGCTACCATCTGCTCACGGACATTCTGCAGCTGCACAGAGCCCAGCCCGGTTACTGGTGTGCTTCTCCCAGAGCTCTGTGGGCTCACTTTGAGGGACTGAGTGCTGCCTGCAGAAGAGCCAATATAAGCAGGGAGATTTCCAGTTGCTCCTGGCTGGTATCCATCCTTAAATTGATTATAAGCACCTAGGCCAGTGAAGAGGGAAGAGGATTCAGGACAACTTAGTCCTCCAAAGCTTGCTAGTCTTCGTCTGGGAAGGGGCTGAGGTGGAGCTGGGCTGACGACTTCTTGCATTTCCTGAGTGGCTTTTTCCTCCATACATTGTGATTCTTCAATATCGGACACTTTAGTATTATTACGTGATATTTTCTTATCTGTAATAAAATTATGAGGAGGAGGAAGGGGAGGACGCCCTCGAGTTGAGCGGGATGTAGCCACTTCTTTTGTACCATCTTTGTTAGACAGTAGAGATTCTGCTGAATGCCATTGACTGGATGAAGCAACATTTGGAGATGCTTCTGCATTATCTGAGGCTCCTCTGAGCCTCTTCTTAAAGCTTAGCCGCTTAATGGTGGTAGCCGGTAAACTTTCCACACATGTGGTGCATGTGAATTTGGATTGAGAAATGTAGTCAATATCCAAGTCTTTACAGAAACAGCCACCTGGGGAAAAAAAAAATATATATATATATGTTATAAAACATATTCTCTATATACTTAAGTTGTGTTTGTTTACCTCGTTGAGTTCACCTTGGTCTTGCTAAGTCTAACAACTGTTAACATCCCAAAGGCTTTTTTATCCTCTGAGACTGTTCCACTCAGTGGGAGGGACATCACATTTACCAATCATAGAGTCACTGCGTTCACAACCTACTTCACTCTAAATAATATGTCTCACTACAGAGACTATTTTAGCCCATAATTACCCTTTAGCTCGCCCTTAAAATGCATAACCATACTTTGGGCAGGCTTTCTCAACCTCAGACATAATCCCAAAACCAGTGGCATAAGAAACATTTCTCACAAAAACATGGTAGATTATATATAACTTTTCTAATTAATGTAATAATGAAGTTTTAAAACATACTTACTTTTGTTGTAAGCTCATATTTGTCTGTTAATATATAATAATATTAATGATGTAACAATATCCTAAAAATAAAATAAAAATACCTGGCATGACTTTAACCACGAATCTTCCTCTGGCCATGTAGATCTGCATAAAAAATAGTCCAGTTTAATGTAAAACAAGCATTTGAAAACCTAATTCAATACGATGTAAAATACAAGAAAATATATCCTTAACTTCTCTGTGTACAGCTTTTCTTTTTGTCCTCTTGAGCAGTGCACCAGCTCTCAATGACAGCACACCTCACAATGCTTACACCCAGGAAATGCAATCCCAGGACATATTACGGGGGTTCTGCAAAGCCTTGCTCAGAAGAAAAAGCTGGATGTTGCACCAGGTATCAGCTTTTCATCTGTAAGCATCTTGTGTTTTATAGGTCGATCAGCAAGAAAATAAGATCTCTTTTTGCCCAGGATACTTTGGTTTTAAAATCTATCTAATGGGCTATTGCACAGTGTAAAACTGAATATAGTAATATTGAAATGTTGCAGCCTATATCTAAAATATGCTACTTAAAATAGATTACAAGTGATAGTTAGTTGCAATCTACTATAACATTTCCCCTTATAACCATGTGCATTACTGTTGGCCAGGTGAACTACGCACATATTTGCACTGACTTGTAGCCATCAGAAAATGTTGTTATAGCGTGTACTACTCACTTGTGCTGTTGTGTTCAAGGGAAAGGTGTAGTTTATCAAATACTAAAGCATCAAAAGCGCAGTAGTTGTAGTTACTCGGTATGTTATTTTCCGTAAGACCGTAATCGTACAGCAGAAGTAATATAAGAGGAGTCAGGTAGACCGCATTGCATTATTAATGTACCCTAAAATAAAGTGAGCGCAGTAAATAGGCCTTCCCCTGTTTAATTTGGCCAAGTAATTATTCTTTTATTCTTTAGTACCATTGACTTTGGTCTATAGGCCACAGAAACACAGTAGCAGCCTATACAACAAGAGTGACATCGTGTGGACATAATAAATTATGCAAGCGTTACAATAACGGACTGCTACTTCAAAATAAACAAATAAACAGTGTTGGGAGTAACGCGTTATAAAAGTAACGAATTACAGTAATGCATTACTTTTTGCTGTAACGCAGTAATGTAAGGCATTACAGGGGAAAAAATAGTAATATTTTACTCGGTACAAATGCGCGTTACAGTGTTTTTTTTTTTTAACCTGGATTGAAGTGGTGGGTTTTTCTTCATACAAATTCGCTAAAATCACCTCGATATCAGCAGCGGTGAAACGCCGGAGATGCGCCCTCATAGACCTTCAGGTAACCGCGGGCGAAAGGACTGACAAAGAACTCCACGCTGTTTAGACCTGGTTTAGACCTGGGTCAGTTCTGGTTTAGACCTGGTTTACGCTCGTCCTTCCCTCTATCGCAGTTCACTTTTCGCTGTCTCGCAGATTTTTTTATTTATTTATTTATTTTTGTGTGTGCAATTTTGCATGCCCTGTTTTTTTTTTTTTACATTGTATGAATGCGTATTGCGTTCCTCCCGCTGCGTCCTGACTGGCCAAGGGACTCCTGTCTCCTGTACAGTACAGTACAGAATGTGTTCAGCTGCCAAATTTAAATACATGTTCAGTCTCTAGCAGTGTGATTCTGAAGTGCTGTACGGTTGCAAGTTTTCTCCCCGACGAAAACCCACAACGTCGACGAAACGTTCTGCACCGACAAAGGCTCCTGCGCTCGCACCCAAAAGGCAGAGGAAGATGCAAACCATCACACAAAAAGTTGGACTTCTGGACACGCTGAAGGAAGGTAGAAGTTACGCGCTGTAACAGACTCTTGCACCGGCTCGGGTACCTGCAAATAGTTGCTGAAATCAGGGCCGCGAGCCCGAGCAGCAGGGTCCATAAAGAGCGAACGGGTGACAGCCGCTCTTACCTCCTTGAGGTGCGGAGCAGAGCCGCTCCTTTCTCCTGCGATCACCTTCAAGACCGACCTGACAGTGAGTCCTGTTTTAGTCCTAGTTCACTTCTAGTTTAGTCCTAGTTCACTTCTGGTTTAGTCCTGGTTCAGCTCTGGTTTAGTCCTGGTTTAGACCTGGTTTAGTCCTGGTTCAGTCCATATACAGCGCAAAAGTTATTTTGGTGAGAGTAACTTAAAGTAATGCAATAGTAATGTAATGCCTTACATTTTAAATGCAGTAATATTGTAATGTAACGAATTACTTTGAAATGACAGTAATAGGTAATAAATAACGCATTACAGTTTCAAAGTAACTTGCCCAACAGTGCAAATAAATAAAAATGCAATGTAATAACATGGCGTAGATATTTATATATTTTAATGTATATATTATTACAGTTGTTTTTTTCTGTATTTTGTTCTATTAAGCTACCTAATCACTCACATAGTTGGTATGTGGTCATGGGTCAACATGCATAGTTTGTTTGATCATTTTTGCATCTCAGAGAATAGTCAAATGAATGACATAACAGTTAAGATAAAAGATATACCTTAAACCTCTGGCTCTATTGACACAATTGATGGACTGAAGGCCTCTGAGTAAAATACAGCCTGAGGTAGAGAATGATTGTACTGATTTGAACTTTAGAGGGTGCTTACACTTGTAGATTGGAACAATATACTGGGACAAAACCAACTAAACCTGGACTAGATCACGATCTAAACTAACAGCAGAACAACCAGCACCAAACTAAGTCAGGAGTAAACTATGTTTAGTCAAACCATGACCAACCCAGGAAAGTGTGAACACATTTTAACCTCATAGGCTATGTCTTCCAATTGCTTTAAAATCCACTTTTAGACATTTAAAGGTAAACAAATGCCTAGTGTTTGCTCTTTGTGTGTAATAATTTACAAATGAAATTACATATTGTTTTTTGTAAGTTTTGATTGCCTGTTTTAACATCTAGTTTTGCTGCCACAACTAGTTATCCTAATAGCAAGAGCTTTTTTTTTTTTTTTTTTTTTTTTTTCAAAGCACTTATTATCTTTGAACTTTGATCTTTAACCCTCTGTCTGTTAAGCATCTGGTTAAACCTTCCCCAATATGATAAGCAGCCTCTGTGATTGGCTGTGAGAGAAGCACACCCCTGCCCCCTCTCCTATCTCAGTGCAAGGTGCACATTTTTATACTTTGAGCAATAGGAGACATTTTTTCCCGGGTCCAGTGGCAGTCCCAGTCCACCAGACAACATGTCTGACAAAGCAGCCTTCGACACTAATGTGCTGACCCTCACCAGGTTTGTCCTGGAGGAGGGCAGGAAGGCACATGGGACAGGAGAGCTCACAAACCTTCTCAATTCTATCTGCACAGCTGTCAAAGCCATCTCCACCGCTGTCCGGAAGGCCGGGATCGCCAACCTGTGAGTATTCCTCTGTCAGGGAGAAGGGAGACTTATAAGTTATGTGTTTGAGGGTGACAGCCCTTTAGAAACATGCTATGCACCATAGTGTATGATGACAAATGACAAAGGGATCTCCAATTACCTTGCACCTGTACTCTAAAATATGTGAACCAAAAGTGTCCCCATTTATTAAATATGTTGAATGTTGAGAAGTGAATGTTGACCTGTTAAACTTAACCATAACTCTTAGCTTTCTTGTAGTCAAGAATCTACCCTGTCCAAGGCCAATAATGTGCTGCTGCAGCAGCTCACATTTATATTATATAATAATTATCTCTATTATTTCTGCATTTAATTTGACAGCTATGGCATTGCGGGGAGCACAAATGTCACAGGAGACCAAGTAAAGAAGCTGGATGTCTTGTCAAATGACTTGGTGATCAACATGATCAAGTCCTCCTTTACGTCCTGTGTGTTGGTGTCTGAGGAAGATGAGAAGGCCATCATTGTGGAACCAGAAAAGAGAGTATGATTTTGTGCCATTCTATCATCTATGTATGTCTGTTATATAATTTCTCATTAATTTTAGTTAATGATATGACTTTCATGGTTTGTTGATCACAGGGAAAGTACATAGTGTGCTTTGATCCCTTAGACGGTTCTTCAAATATTGACTGCCTTGTCTCAATTGGAACCATCTTTGCTGTCTACAGAAAGGTAAAACAAGTTTATAGTTTAATGGAAATACATTTTATAAACTAAAATAAATGGCTCAACTCTGTAGCAAGCACAAAATATTTTCTCACAGATTATTTTGTTTTATCTTGTCATGCTATAGGCTGTGTATCATTATAGAGCGCTAATTGTTGAGGAACCGGTTGTGCATAAGATAAAAAAAACACCAACTTATAACAGAGTTTTAAATATGATTTGGTACATATCTCCTTTTTTATAGACCACAGATGATGAGCCATGTGAGAAAGATGCCCTTCAGTCTGGAAGAAACATAGTGGCAGCTGGTTATGCTCTTTATGGCAGTGCCACTATGATGGTCCTATCTACTGGACAAGGAGTCAACGGCTTCATGCTTGACCCTGTAAGCATATATTGAAAACTAATATTACTACAATCTACTTAATATCTTCTGATATAATAATCTCTTTGTACATCTGCCCAGGCCATTGGTGAGTTTATTCTAGTAGATCGAGATGTAAAGATTAAGAAAAAGGGGAAAATATACAGTTTAAATGAAGGATATGCACAGCACTTTTTCCCAGATGTAACAGAGTACCTACAAAAAAAGAAATACCCAGAGGTACACCCAAAATATTACAGTAAATCTCATTTTGTTGTATAACATTGTTGTTATAATAATATTGATATTTCAGGATGGCTCTGCTCCATATGGTGGACGCTATGTAGGTTCTATGGTTGCAGATGTTCATCGCACTTTGGTGTACGGGGGAATCTTTTTATATCCAGCCAATGTCAAGAGTCCCAAAGGAAAGGTGAGCAGGTCTTACAGTCCCTTTCATATGGTATGATACATGCTCTAACTGAGTTTTCTGGGCTTTAGTTAAGACTGCTGTATGAATGCAACCCCATGGCATACATTATGGAGCAGGCAGGAGGTATGGCCACCACAGGGTCAATGAATGTTCTGGACATCGAGCCCACCTCCATTCACCAGAGGGTGCCAGTGGTCTTGGGCTCTCCTGATGACGTCAAAGAGTACATTGCAATCTACCAAAAACATGCCAAATGAGGTAGCATGCTATCACAAACTTATCTGGACAGAATTACATATAGGTTTATACACATAGTGTTTAAATATGTTTTTCCTTTGTAGAGAGAAGACATAATTTGCCACCACACCCCACCCCACATTGTGTGATAGAAGGAAGTGGTGTCAGTGTGTATCATTTGTATCTTACAATAAATATAGCATTTATATAAATAATGCATTTGTCTTTTTGTGTGCTGCTTATTTTGACTTTAGAACAACCAATTCTATTCTATAAATAAATAAGTTTGGACAAACGTCCTTGTCAAAGTCCGATCTCGGCAAATCTCAGAAGGAGGGCTGGGTTAGTACTATGGGAGACTGTATGGGGTTACTTTTGTCTCATTAATATTCACAAATGCACAGATAGTGATCTATAAATAGTCACTGATTTGTACATGTGTTTTGATATCCACAAATGCAAATTTAATATTGTATTTTGTTATTTACAAATAGATGTGTATTTGTAAATTTATCTTTTTTCATTTGCAAAAAAATATTTCATTTGTAAAACTGAAAATTATGTTTGTAAAATGTGATTCGCATTTGTGGATACAAAGTGAATTTTCGCATCTATTTACCAAAATACAAGTTACAAATATTAAATATGCATTTGTGGATATCAAAACACATGTACAAATCAATGACTATTTGTAGATCACCATCTGTGCATTTGTGAATATTAATGAGACAAAAGTAACCCCATAAGGCTGCTGAGAATATCAGGTGCCACAGTGGGGCGCCAGAGGCAAAAACTCTTCACTCACATTACCTAGAATGTTTGTAATGTGTCAGAGTTTTTTGTGGTACAGAGGCAGATTGGCAGCCTCACTTCTGTCAGTCTACCCCAGGGCAGTTGTGGCTATATCAGCAGTTTACCACCACCAAGTGTAGAGTGACTGAATAATTCCTGAAAACTGTAAAGCAACTTTGACCATTTAGGAAAATATAAGACTTTCATTTCATTATTATGAATACAAATAGAAACTGCTTTAAAAAAATAAATAAATAAATCAAGCCTTATAACCTGTGCCCTTATGGTGTTGTGTTGGGCAGTATCAGCATTTCACTCTCACAATACAAACCACCGATAGCAGCCAATTCAAACTAATAATTTCAATATATTTAATTATTGTCAGCTCCATGATGATGATACTTTATTGTTGTAAATTGTAGCAACTGGGAAAAAGTATCTTAATCTGCAAACTCTATCACCCACTCACCCACACTTATTTAACCAAAGCCTTTGTATCTGCAGCTGTACTTGCATACTGTAATCCTAATCCTGCAACCTTGACCACTGCAAAAGAAGCTTCACTTCTAATAATCTTATACAAAGATACAGACAAAACAACAAATAAACTGAACTCTAAACCAGAATTTAGCAGATCAGTATCTTCAGATCATCACATAATATGATGCATTTGCAGTTCAATAAACAACTTCATCATTGCTGAACATATAAAAAGTGATAAAACATGTGGTGTTGTTTCGTAAATCCTTCCTGTTTACTTTTTGCTGAATAATTGAAAATAATTCACAATTCTCAGCAATACTCCTCAGCTCGAATTTCTCCAACACAAGATGCGCTCTGGAGGCCTTCTGTGTTGCAGGTGCGTGTTCTGCTGCGCTTCCCAAGTACACATTCAGAGTAAACTGACCAGCACCCCCAGTTACCAATCTGGGCCACAGTGGGTATGTCCTCTGAAAGATAGTCAATGTCAGAACAGTCAAAAAAGCTTGTTGTATTGTTTAAATCTTTGTTTACTTACGGATGTTCTGAGATTTGACTAAGTAATTTTGGCAGGCCAGGCCGCCGTAGGAAGGAGGGCACAAGCACTGACACTCTCCGTCGATCAATGCAGGGGTGCCTCCGTTATGACAGGGCTTACACTTACATGGACTGTACTCTGCCACATACTCTGCTAAAGCTCTCTTTATGTTGGCTACTAAAGTATTGGCATTGGGTAGATCTAGTGGCACCAGTGTGTAGATAGGCTCTGGCTGTCAGATGAAAACACATTAATAATAAAAAACACAAGTGTCTAATTGTACTCTGAATTAGAAAAGTCCATACATCACTGTCAAGGAGTGTGGGTTCGTCCCCAATTGATCTAGCCCAGTTCTGAAAGGTCGTCATGTCCAGTATCCCCTCTTTGCCCAGTTGGGTCTTCATGCCAGCAGCAGCCGAAGGACTGCCTCCATAAATGGCAGACACTACTCTGTCCACAACAGCTTTACCAAATGTTTCATCTATGGTACATGAGTAGAATGACTATTATCTCAAATGATGCATATTGTGCAAGTGCAAGTCACCACTACAGTTATTCATTTCATTATTAAAGAGATGGACACACCTTCGTTCTTTGCAGTAAGTGATTTACAATCATCTGTACCAAAGTTGCCTGAAGCATCAATAGACTGACTGGCAGCACTGGCAGAGATTCCTATTTTGACACATTCTTGTAATGTTCTTTCTGTTATTTCTGCAAGTAAAAAATACAAATATAAAAACAAAGAACAAATAACTACTACTACTGTGACATGTAAACTGAAGCACTCATACTTTTCTTCTTGATCGAGTCCTGATTGAGAACATAGACAAGATCATAGTAACCACCATGTCTTCCGTTTTTGGTGTAGTGCGTTCCATAGTCCTCAATGAAGGAAAAATATATACTCTTCTCATATTCTAGTGGGAGTCTTTTAACATCCTCCACAAAACCCAGTGCAACTTGGAGATCATTAGAACGCATCCTGTATGTGCTTAGTTGTATGGACCCTTTAACACGTATGAAACTCTTGTTCTGTAGGTAAAAGACAGAAGACATACAGTTCAAGTCCAGTAAATATGTAAACAATGGTGCAATCTAGTGGTACCTTTATGGTGGTGTACTCTGACACAGCCCTAACCATGTTTTTCTTCTCTACTTGTGGATCAAAGCTCACTTGTCCCGTAACAGGTGGGGGTCCACCTGTATTCCCATTTGTACTCCCATCTGTGCTCCCACCTGACGTGGAGGGCTCACTGGGACTAAATTTGAAGGACAGTCCAACGTGAACTTTAGAGGATATATCTGTGAGTATTTCTGTGAGAAGAGTGTGTGAATCTTCATAAATCTCCCTGGAAACAGTCTCTTTCACCACAGTCTGGGGAAAAGCAATATAGGACTTTCAGCCATGTATACAAACACAACTGACGCATAAGTACAAGAGCAGGCTTTCTAGACCTGATAACTGAGGACTCCAACGTTCCAAGGTACTCTGTCATATATTCCAGAGGATGGGTTTCTCACTCTCTCACACCTCCCACCAAAATAGTCATTGTAAAATGGGTTTTGTCTGGGATCTGCACTTAATGGATTGATTCTGTTGCAAAGACACAATCAAAGAATTACATTTTAATTGCCATACAGAATTAAATTACAATAATCCTTACCCATATCCTGCTCTCCTGCCATGCTCACTATTGATCAGATTAAGACTCCCACACGGTTTACGCACAGGGTCACAATCCTCGTCATACCCATCTTCACAATCCCAATCCCCATTGCACATAAGCCTCTTTTTGATACATTGGCCTGGTCAGATGTGGAAATGACAAAATTGTAAAATGTAGAATTAAATTTTCATCAAATCCAGTGAAAAATTAAGAAAGCCCAGGAAGAATATAATAATAATAATAATAATAATGGGGATCCAATAAATAAATAAATTAATTAATTAAGCAAGCAACTTGAAATAATGTTTTATTTCCAGTACGAGTAGGCAGTTAAGTCTATAAAAATAATTTGATCAGCAACCTCAGCATTGAAGATGAAGTTTGTATTAAATATGAATATGTTACTGAATATCTATGTTACTGAATGTTATTGAATATCTATTTTAGACTTTGTAGTAAACATATAGCACATTTTAATTTTTACCTATGACTAAATAGATAAGACTATGATTAATACAACTATATTTACTACATAAAAGAGAAAACATTTTACCTGACTCCACACTGCACTGGAACTCACTGACAGAACAATTACGAGCTGGTGGCTTGACACATGCTTGACTTGTTGTGCAGGCCTCTCTCTCCCCTAAAGAGCCTTTGCACGGTCGGCCTCCAAACTGCCCAAACACCTCTATGGTCCGGGAGCGCCTCTGGTGTTAAGATCAGGGTTTTAGTTTCAATTCAAGTTAAGGCTGGACACATTGTTTTTCATTTTTAGTTTACTCTCTCAACACAAGCTTTTACTTGGAAACAACAAAATAGCCCAATTTACACCTGTATGTATTATTTTAATCAAAAGGTCCCAAAATGCTTTTTTTTTTTACACAAAGTCACTCTGTAATTTAACACAAAATATTTCCAATCTTGTACTCATATTCAGACATTCAAAATAATTTTGACTAAAAATACATAATTGTTTTCCAAAATTACATGTCCCAATATGTGCAATTTTGGCTCTTTTTACCCACCAATGTCAAAAATTCTAATTCTAAAAATGTTTTTTGTTTTATTACAAGGAAAACTTACTCGTGTTTTTGAACAAGGATCACAAACAGTCCAGTCAGACCACCGGCCCCAGACACAGTCTACCGGAGGAGGGTCTGGTAAATCTGCCCTGAAAATGTCAGGAAATGCAATAAACAACAGGCATAACCCAAATCCATAACTTATGATTTTATAAAACAGGAAATACCTACGTTCTTCCTTCAAACAGACACATTGTGAGACAGAGGCCACAGAGTGCAATCTGTAGAGCGGTTCTCATGTTGAAGTAGGTTCGTGTGAGTATGTGTGGTGATGCACTGTTTGTCGTTCTTGCATTTATCTTCCTCATATTGCTCTTTCATTAATGATTATACAAAAGATTGGAGTTGCGATACTATTTACATTATTGATTTCAGTGCCCGGAAAGCACTGACGTATGTCCCAAAACTGAGCCCTTAAGTTAAGTTAAGTTAGAAAGAAGGGGCAAAGTAAACTATACAGAGGATTTTACTGTAAAGTTGGGAAACAAAATGCAGCTACACCTCTTACGATAATACATTTTTAAGTATGTAGAATATTATTGAATCCTAAAATAGAATTTCCCCCCCAAAACAATTCTATATGTACAGTATTGTTAATGAACACTTAATGAGTCATGGAAATTATTTTTCAACTCTCTACAGCTTAAATCTAATCATAGTGCAGAAAATGTATCTTAAAATCTGCAAAATCTACTCATTGCTCCCCATTTCTTTTAGCCTACTAAATCAATCAATTAAACTTTATTTGTAAAACACCAAATCTGGGTCTAAGGTGAGATTCTATAGTATAGAGATACCTTTTATAACCTCTATTAGATTTTTGGTCACTTTGCTCTCTTAACATGTATGCCTCCATATGAAAACAATCAAAATTGTTGAATCTGTGCTCAAAGATGTTATTGATTAATTTAACCAACCTGCATCCATAGAGTGATTAGGATAATGTAACTGTTGTTTTTTTTAGTTACATCTTCAAGGGCGTAGGTTTGGATAGGGATGGTGGGGACATGCCACAACAAAAATTTGGGGAAGACAAAATAGTCCCTACCAATATTTGCCATTTTATTTTAATAAACAAAAATATAAATTTCTGATATTTTTCCAAACTCAAATAGTATTAATTTAACACATTTTGTTTATTAGACGTTCTGAGATGTATTCAGTGATATGACGACAGGGTTACACCTGCCGCTGTTTCATTGGCTGCAACAGAGTGATGTCATTAGTGGTGCCGGGAGTCTAAACTGGAGAAGCGGCAGGACAGTGCAGCACCCGAAGATGACGACTTGAGCAGGCGTTTGTGAAAACGCTGCGCACCAAACTTAGAAGAAATTTTCAAAAGGAACTTACTTAGCTACATCTTCAATTAAATTTCCCTTATGAGTCGCCGCCGAAAAAGAATGACTATCGCATGAATCTATTAAAATAACTATCGCCACAAGTGCACCTCCCAAACGGAGCCCTACTCGTGCGCTGTTAGCAGCCGGACTGATAATTTGCTGATAATGTCCCCACCAAAGCTGAGACCAAACCTTCGTCCTTGTACATCTTTCTTACACGGGGACATAAAGATCAACTACAAATACCAAACCTTCCGATGTCATACTTATATAAATACAATATTTCAACGGATCATACAAGGAATTTGTTTGATTTTTACAAAATATAAAAATGCTCTATTTATACATACTCTATTATTGACTGAAAAGTGTTGATATTGCACACCGTGGCGCCCTACTTTAGTAGCCCGTTTTATGGACAGTTGCATTACCATGTATGCCCTCTAGATGGGAACAGTGATACATTCCCTGAAATAGTACCGATGTGTCGCAACCGTAAATAAGCATTTAATTAAACTTCATAGACTAAAATTTATGATAAATTTGCCCCTCTCCTGCACAGCAATTCCAGCGGCTCCATCGTTTCTTTAATAAATGGATAGTTAGACTGCAACAGGAAGTTTTTTACTGTTGCACTATAGTCTGTCATGTGATGTGGGACGTTTTGCTGATTCTGCGTGTTTTGTTCTTCAAATGACTTGCGCTTTTTAGGGTCAATGGCACACACACGTAATGTAGACACAAGAGTGGTAATTGTTGTTGGAAGGCTACTGAGTACTTTTTAAATTATGCAATAATAATAATACCATTTGTTAAGTAAGTTACTCTCTTTTGTACTCTCAGGGTGACTGTCTGCCGTTTTAAGGGCTGCTCAGGGCCTCTATATTCTCCTCCTGACCACCATGTTCAGGTTCTTTCTGCCCCAGTGCCCTCCAGATGATGGCATTGAAGATAGCAGAGTGATAATCCTGAGTAGAGACCTATGTGGGACCAGTCCATTGGTAATGCTTATTATCTTTGTCGTCTGCTGGAATTATGTATGCAACAAATCCACAATAACAATCATTTTCTGAAATATCATAACATCAGCCAACCATCTACTTTTGACGTTTGCAGTTTCACAAACTCACCGTGATAAAGCCGGTATGGGTTTGGGTATAGTCTTGTGGTCATGGCATGTTGGAGAAGCACAACTATGTGCTGAAGTCATCACTTTTATGGGGTCCGAGAGCTTCCTCCTGGCTTTCAGGAAACCAGAGGGATAAGGTGCTTGGCTTTTACTAAAAAGACTTCCTGTTTTCACAAGGGGTTCAAACTGGGATGGACTATTGCTTACTTCACTGTAACTGACACATTTGACTCATATGTCATCTTAACATACTGACAATTCAGATGCCTCTATGTTTAATGCCATTCAATAAAATCTATCTATCTATCTATCTATCTATCTATCTATCTATCTATCTATCTATCTATCTATCTATCTATATATATATATATATTGGTTGGTATATATGTCAGGACAATATTTGTACTTTTTAGCGTACTGAGTTATTAGTTCTCTAACTGTTAGAAGCCTGTCCTTAAAACATAGTTATATTTAGGGTAATATTAAATTGGTTGTTAAAACCCTATCTCCTGGATCAGATATATAGGCTTATTTGAAACAAATAATGGCTTCTTTTTAAAAGCTTCTGTCAGCAGAAAACAAGATACAAAGCCAGGAAGGACGTCCTTCCTCTGCCATTTTCTAATCCCTCTTCTCTCAAACAAAACATGCCATAACAACAATTAGTTGTATTATACAGCATTGTATAATATATCAATGAAATGTTATAAAATTTGAAATTGTGTTTTTTCAGAACAATACACTGCAGACTGTAGTGCATATACAACATACATATATATATATACATACATATATATATATGTATATACATATATATATATATATATATATATATATATATATATATATATATATATATATATATATATATATATATATATATATATATATATATATATATATATATATATATAGGAGATGGGTAATACTCAGTAAGGCCCACATTTACATTTGTACACATTTATTTGAGTGACTTAATGAAACAGCACTCAGTAAAAGTTTTGGTTAGCCTACTTTTCCCACTGACACAGTGAGTGCCAAATGCTTTCTGTTGACAATAATACATGTGAACATTTATGGATGTTTTATTTTGTTCAAATGTGTGTGATCTCCCACTTGAAAATATGACATTATTCAATGTTTTCAATTAAGTTACGTTTTACATTTAGACAGTTATGCAAGTATTCCAAAGTTTTTCCATTCACTTTTTTACTCTAACTTGAGAAAAAGACCACTACTTTGAAGTTCTACTTGAGCAATATTATTCTGAAGTATGCTAATTCTAGTTTTGCTTAAGAACAAGTTGAGGCCTGTATGGATCACTATATGATATACAAAGTTTAGCATATCGAGGTCTTTTCCTTCTCTCTGGGCTTATTGGATTTTTGATTGCTTAACATTACAAAATTCTACAGAATCATATTCAGTTTACAAAGATGAGAAATTGAAAATTTCCTGTTGCTAACAAAGCACATTTTTGACAAGGCCTCATTCATTTACTCGAAGCTGATTGAGTCACCAGCTTCTTGATTAGTGTTGTCATATTATGAGCCATCATGAGACTTGAACATCTGAAATCCCAATTGAGTTTAACCAGTCACGTCTATAGTTTAAACACATTTTAAGTCAACTTAAAATTAAATGCTATATAAAATAAAGAACATTTCTCTCCAATATGAAGTGAAAAATTTACAATGACTCCAGTGCAGTCTATTTCTTCCTTGAAATGAAGGCTAATTCAGGATCAAGAGTCAAGCCATCTTTGTTTTTTTACCTATAAAGTATATTTTTTGACTATGTATGTGTCTCTCTCCATGATGCAAATTGTACTTTTGGAAACTGCCAGAACAAAGTCAGTAATAATGATCTGTTTTCTCACCTCCACAGTGCAGCCTCTTGCAGAGCAGCCTGTGTACGGGCAAGTCCCGCCTCCTCGTCCCTTGCGTGATGAGGGCCACACTCACTGTCCCGCAGACATTCAGGGGTTAAACTGGGAGTTTGAAGCAGCCTCTCCGCTCTGTCTTCTGCTTTCAGCGGAAAACATCTGACTGCTGGACTTCTTTACCCTGCTGCGTTTGTATCGCCGTTATTTTCTTCACCGGTAGACTTACGAGAGAAACTATCGGCCTGTTGTACTGCTTTTCCCCTATTGGGTTTTCCAGGTAAGTTTTTGTGCTGTACATTTAATTAATTGGGGATCTGATTATTAAACAATACCGCTTATGCCATCGTTTCATTGGTCGCACTCGCCCTGTGCAGAAAACAGCTTAGTGCGTCTGGAAGTGATCCAAAATTGCATACAGAAGTTTATGAATGTGTACTCCCATAATGTTTGGCATAATTTTTCACTTTAAAAACCCCACAGTGTATCTACTTTTGTTGGAAAGTGAATGTACAGTTGTAGTTCGTACTGGGTCTGTGTTATTTCAAAATCTCATTCACTGTGTGTGCAGACTGAGTCATTCTGTGATTTCCTCCAGATGTTCAGTAGTTTAGGCTTCCTGAGGATTGTGACATGTCTGTTTGCATAGAGCTTTTTGCCTTGACAAAATATGAATTCAGCACTTTTCTGCGCTGTTGTTGTGATGGTGGGTTTGTGAGCCAGTAATGTTTTTAACGCTTGTCATCATAAATGTGCCACATACGTTGTTAAAAAAAGTAATACTTTAACTAGCATTCAGTTGAAAATTTACCTTTTTATTAGCCTCTTCAGGACTCTGACACTGTTAGTTATTGGTCAAACGAAATCATATGTCATTTGTGCAAATTCATCAGTTTTTGTCAAACTATAAAACGGAGAGTGCCCTCTT